CCTTAGTTGAGTTTAGCCTCTGTTCCCTTTAGTGTCACCCTAGTAGAGAGATACGCATCTAAGCTTTCAACAACTTCTGCTTCCTAGGTAGAAATCTGCTATTTTGCTCTCGCAGGCTTCTTGCAATGTTTCCCTAGTGACTGATGCTGTGCATTGCAAATGTCTGCCTCCTGGAGCTGCCGAAGCCTGCTCTGAACCTTTGAATAGTCCTGGCACTAGTAACTCTTATCTCTTCCTATCACAGCCAGCCATGGGAGCCATCGAGTAGCTCATTGAATAGCATATATTGTAAACCTGCTCCTTTGCAATATTAACAACAATGTAATGGATTCATGGCTTGAAAATGATCATGATGCAGATTAAATCAGATTCTCCTTTCTCTCCTCGTGTGCTTGACACAAAACTCTTCTTACTTTGGGACAGGAAAGGGAATTGTCAAAGGGGAGGGGAAGGAGAGAACAGGGGAAGGAAATCCTTAACTTTAAAGGTACAAGCTGAGAATGAAAAGTGTATCTGAAGAATATATTACTTAGTTTAGTAATAGCAGACATTGTCTGCCATCAGCCAGCTCCTCAACATGGCAGGACAGAGGTTTTCTATTAATTGTATGAAATCTTGAAACTTATTCCATGTAATACTGATTTGTGTAAGGCTATTCAGAACCCACCTCATTGTTATTCACAGTTAATGAGTGTGTTGGACAGAACTTGCCAGAGAAGCCGTATCAGGGAGGAATTAGCAGTACCATCAGAGTTGGCTGCATTAGTCCCAGCAGACCACAGAAACCTGTTCTAGTCTCCAGCTCCATATGCTGTTACACCAGAGCTCAGTAAACTGCTCACTTCAAATGAGAGACTGACAGCCTGAACTAAACAGTAAAACTTCTATATAGTATGGGGGTGAGATTTTACCCATTTAACTGTTTTCCTACCTTAGAATTTTTAATATACTAATCCTTCCACTAGAGTTGCAGAAATGTGATAATCTTTACCATGGGTTCTTTTGCATAAGGAAGCTTTATAAAGCAATGTAATAGTCTCATGTACCTGGTTATCATGGTCTTGCTAGATAATTAGTAAAACATCTCCTCTGATGTGTTGTTGCTCATGATTCTAGTAATTCTAGTGAAACTAAATTCATTCTAGTAATACCAGCCCAAATGTGTCTACTAAATATTAGAACTGTATGGGTATGTTATAGTATTTAGAGCATGGGATTCATAAATGATGCACCTTGAGTCAGTAGGCACCAGGAGCATAAATCTGTATTTACCATGCTTCAGTGACAACACTCTGCTGTATGTCATTGTTTCCAGTTTTAGGTTGTCATTTTTCTGTAAGGTCTTGAAATAGACTTAAAGTTGCTAGCAGACAACATGGTAATTATTTGACTCCTTTGAGAAAAGGATTCTGACTAGGAAGACCCAGCAAGGTTACTCAACATGACAAATACTACAAGATTTTCAGTGATTCTGTGCAAATATATCAAAACTAAACAAAGACACTATACACAGATACACACACAAAAAAGATGCCCAAAAGATCCATATTCTAGACAGGTAAAATCATTCCAGTTATGATGCGCTATCTTTGTTTTCAGAAAGCTTTTACTTTGCCCAAGTCTCAATTGCACATATTCCTGCCATTTCCATATTGACATGATAGTGCAGTTCATACCTGTGCCTCAGGGATGCCAGTATCAAGTATATAGTGATAATTCAGTCTTTGCTCCAACACCTTCCCCTTCTTTTTTATTTTGGTATCTGAATATTTACCCTTCCAGTTGGCAATTTTTGTGATACTCAGATCTAAAAACCTTTGCAGAGGCTGCTTTTAGGGCAGTTATAAGGTAATGAAAACAAGGTAGTAAGAGTCCAGGAAGGGAATAAAATGCACTGAAAGACAAGGAAAAAGGCTGCTGTGACCTACTCAGTTTTCACAAACTTAAGGTATGTGACTCTATGTTAGTAAGTGTTCTAGCTTCTTAACATCTGCATAAAAAACACCCAACACAGTAATAATTAGAAAACAAGTTTCCTTTCCCATTTTGCCTTGGCACTTCATCATCTATCCTCTATTAACTGCTCTCTTCATTTGTTTGCTAAATCTCCTCTCGAGCAGATAAAAGGGTTTCATTAAAGGAAAGCTAATGCTGTCAGTGGCAGGAGAGCTGCCAGCCCTGGTGGTTATAGTAAGTCTACTAAGCTGACCTAAGCATGCTAATACTTCAGAAATTCATTCTATTCACAGCAGTCCTCTGCAAATATTCCTTTATCACATGTGAGAAACTAAGTTATGCAATTCAAATGAGTAACAAAAGACCAGACCCGAGACTTCACCTTATCTCTATGTATGCACACAGTTCTGTCCTAAGGGAAGCAGCAGTATACTATCAATTGTAACCCCTGCTGTATCAGAAGCACTTCCTAAGATTACAGAAAGGTCTGTCAACAGCTTCATGAAAGTATTCCTTTCAGAGACTACTGAGAAGAAACCAGCACTGGACCATCAAAACAGAACATTTTTTTCCCCAAAGATTTCCTGCCACAGTCCATATGCAGAGCAGATGCTCTAAACCTATATGAAGGCCACCCACATAGTATAGTTTAGCTCTAATTTAGCCCGAGTTAAAAAAACAACCAACCAAACCCCCCCCAAAATATCACCACCCCCCCAAAAAAAAACACCACCAAAAACCAAAAAACAAACAAAAAAAGCGCAGAACAACCAGATCCTACAAATCACTGACATCTTATGTCACTGCCATAGCACTTATACTATGGTAGAAAATACACAGAAGAGTAACAAGTGAACTATGTAACAGTACTAGTTGTCATCAACACTTAAAGTAAAAACCTCCTTCATTGGCCTTTCTTCAGAGCTACATACTCCAGCTATTACTTCATGTTTAATTGAAACAAAGTTTTCAATACAACATCACATTGAACATTCATCTCTTACCATAAAAGAACAAATGTCGAGCAGTAGCACAGTTTTAGCTCAACAAAAATCATGGGGGAAAAAAATAATCTATGAGGCTTCTAAAAGAAAAAGTAAGAGTGCTCACATCAAAAATAGATTTATCTTAATTCTTCTCTCTTGAAAGATTAATGTAATTGTTTAGGTAATGTAATAAATGGGGGGGTGTAGGCATGGGAGAGAGAGGGCACCATTCTCATGTCTAATAGGAAACATGAATAAATCATGCTGTTTATTGAGTAAGTGCACATTTACCTGAGAGCTGCTGTCAGGCAAGCACAGAAATGATGGTGGAGCAGTCCCATGGCATTATTTCTCCAGCCATTTGTGATGACCATAATAGAAAACATAGACTAGCAACAGCTGATTTTTCATTCATTCTCCATTTTCAGGTTTTGCAAAGGGTACTGGAAACCTTACTTGTTCCGGTTGATTAAAAAAAAAATTAAAAAAATCATACAGGTGGAAAAATAACAAAAGGACCATGGTTCTGTGAATAGACAGGATCATATTTTAAATTCAAAACCTAAACTGTCCCAATAATTTAAAAAAAAAAAACCCTCATCTTTTTAAAGGTTTAGTAGAGAAAAAACGATCATACACATGCCTATTATTATGTATAGACTGCACGCACCAGCTACTCCAGCAAGGCTAACATGCATCAGCCATTTTGCACAGAAGCAGAAAATAAACCAGTCCTTCTGCTTCCCCGAGGAAAAAGAAATTACACTGAAGCCACCCACAGCAGGTGGCAAATGTGATGCTTAGCCATAGCCTGTGGTGAAGACTTCAAATAAAGGACAGCTTGGAATTTAGTGATGAATTAGACTTCTTCACAATCACCTGAGCATACCTGTAAGCAATTCTCCTGTATTATTTTTTTAGTTTATGCTTGCAGGGCAAAACTACTTATACTAGATAACAGAACACCCTGCAGAACTATTCTCACACAGCTCACTTCTGCTGTTTTGCTGCATGGGAACACCCACTTGTCAGAGAACAGAAAATAAAGATGGGACAGAGCATGAGGAAGCAAAGGAAATGCTCTCTTGTGAATAAACTTACATTACACAAGAGAAGTATCACACTTTTCATTTTCTTTTTTCAGTAAACATTCTTAGGATCGCATCTGAATGAGACGTGATGCTGGTTAATGCACCCACTTAATGAACCAGAAAAGATCATTCTGCCCCTAAATTCACATCTAAGTTCAGTTTTATACTGTAACACTAGGTATTTCTGCATTCTTATTTTTTAAGCTTATGGAGAAACACATGGACCTGAACAAAAATCTAGTTTGACACAAAAGATGACTGAAAATAAAAAAAAAAAAAAAAAAAAAGAGAAAGTACCTTCAATGTATTTTACAGATTCTTCTCCGATTCCCTCTTGCTACCAAATGAGTCCCCTTGTGGTAAAAACCTGTTAGGAAAGGACTGTGTGCAAAGCAACTCATGACATCTGCCCTCCAACTTATGTTTGCACAAAAAATGGTAATTTTTTGTAACCAAAAAATGAAGAAATTGGTATTTTTCCAAAATAAACATGTAAAAAAACCCCAAAACCAATAAAACCTGTCATAATTTTTTTTCCTATTATCAATTACTAGCTCTAGGTATCACCAACACATAAAGAAAGCAAGAAAATCATTATTCCATAAGAAATTTATAGTATTTTTGTGCACAGCTGTTGATTTATATAAGTGGACTTTATACTGCTAGGAAATGTGATTAATATACCAGAAAAGAAGGTAAAAAGTAGAGCAGTGATACAGAACAATGGTTCTTCAACTCATACCTCTGCCTCCGATTTGAAGAATAACATTCACTCCTCATATTTTGGAGCACTAAATAACACTGTAACTAGATGCAGAAGAATTATTAGTCATTATCCACCCTTGATCTTTACACAAAATTCCCATGACATCTATAGACATTCCACAGCTGTACAAAACAAAATAAGGTCCATGGCAAGCACAGCTTTCAGGATTTGCTCTTCAATAAATATCAAAAGCATAGGAGAGACAGCAAATGTTAACACTTTATTAGTTTTGAACATATAAAGATTATCTCTCGGAAACAATTCTTTTAGAGCCATCTTGTGGGGAAAATAAGTAATTTAAAACAATACGTGTACTGTAATTGGTTTTCTACCAAAGACACCACTGTTCAGTATGACATCTTCCAGTACTCTTAAAAAAAAAAAAAAAAAAAGTAGTCTTGGTCACAAAGTAAACTTTATACAACATTGCTTAAATCACTGCAACATGAAGAAAGTGCTTTTCTGATCTATCACGTTAAAATTATTGGCTCTAGATAGTAAAAAATACATGCCACTAAGTTAAAGATGTTATTTTTCTGAAGAATGCTTTTAGGCCAGATTCCGTTCAAACTCCACACAACTGCAGACCACAAAAAAAGTTCAACAACCTAGAGAAGCTAAGGCCTTTCTCAGAGCTTGTTTGGCCAAATTGAATAAATCAATCTAAGTAAAATGGGGTAACCCCTACAGTAGTAGATTCAGCTCAAAGCTGAAAAGTTTTTTCTTCTTTAACATCCCCAGCACTGCTATTTATTTTACACTTTGGTAATCTTCTGCTACCTCTGAAGGACTTTACACCAGTTGTTTATGAAGAACTCATTAAACGACAGTTTTCTGTTTGTATACAGTTACCTGAAGTACAGGGCTGAGCAGACATTTCAGAATAGTTGAAAGTCATGATGTAGGCTTCAGTTCCCATATAGCAATCAAACATCGGCTGCTGCTTGATCTATGTGTCTTGTCTATAAAGCAAAGCACTTAAACTTTATCCTAGAGAACAAAAGCTTACATGTAGCCCATTTTTCTTACTTGGTTTTAAGTTTTGCCCTACTAAAATACTTCACTTACAGAGAACAGTAAAATGTATCACATCACATTTATCCACTATGCAATTATCTTCTATTAATACAAAAGTGAAACAGAGTATCACAGAATGCTTTTACAGAATGCACAATCAAGAGGTGTCACAGAAATATGCACTTTTTGGAACTGTTACAATCAGTGTATAGTTTAGACTAGCAGGCACCTCTATTAACTTTTGTTTTTTCAAATAAAGAAAGAAATTTGACAATGAAAGGGTCCTATGGTAACCAAAGCCTCTGACAGCAGTAACTAAACAGAACATACCGGTAGCCAGACATATAACCAGACAATTTTGCTACTGCAAACACGAGTACATAAATGTTTAATTTTACACTTTTACCAAACTTTGGGTGAAGACGGTGTACATGTGGGCTCACAGCTTTCCTTCCTTCTGACAGATGACAACGAGATCTGCTTCCTCCACAACCTCTTTAAACTTTGGAAAGGAGCCCTGACTCAGGGGCACTCGCTTTAATGAGATTTTGGATTTCTTTGAATTTTGGATGTTCTTTATCAGCTACCAGCTGCAGCAATATAGCTTCACTAGTAGTAACTATAATTCCAGTGCGAGCAAGACGCTGAAAGAGAAAAGAGGAGAAAAAGAGTAGCAGCAGATACTTGCAATGTGAGTAAGCATACATTTTGTAAAGACAACAGATGGTATTTTTTAAAAACATTTCTTATTAACAAAACATTGCCAATTCCATTCCTGCATAACTAAGCAGTGTCATTTATAAAGCTAGGATGGAAAGTGAGTGGTTTTAGACTTCAATGAGGAAAAAGCCTGCTCTGGATTACAAATAAGGCTTCCTACTTGGATTGGATTCTTTCCCCATGTCTGACTCAATATGCAGAAAGCCCACCTCTGTTACATGAACAAGCCTTTCCCTTTGCATAGTAAAGAGGATAGCCTTCTTCACCCTCATACATATCTGAAAGGCTTCAGAAAAAAGAAAATAGCAAGGTCCAACCTAAAGGCATTAAGCAAGAGTAACAGTTTTTCTTTCAGGGCTTGTTATGTACTAGTACCTCCATCCTTGAACTACACAGCGTTGGTAGTACTAATCACCTCACGGGACAGAACAAAAAGCTCTTCTACAGACCTTATAAATCATATTAGCACAACAGCAGCTCCTTTTATTGAACATCTCATTACAGCCTCAGTAAATCCTGAGTTAGTTCTTGGGCTACACAATAAAAAGCATCACTGTGTAGAAAGCAAAACTGAAAGAGGTCTGCTGGGTCTTTTAAGTGTGCAACTAAACAGAACAACCCTTCGTGTAGCCTAAGCCACAAGACTAACGGCAAAGGTTTTGGACTTTTAAGACTGTGGTTGTTGCCTACGTAGCAAAGTTATCTTTAAGTAAAGGCTGACCACCCCCTGGGCCCTATCAGCTTCCCAACAATTGTACAGATTCACTGGCAGTAAAACTCTTCATGAAGCCAGCTTTCCCTCCATCATCCTCTATTCAGCTGCATGCTTCACTGAATCTAATGGGGTCCTTAATAGCCAAAGGAAGGCAAGAGGCAGAAAATACAGATACATATGCCTTCAGACAGGTTTCAATTTTAATTACTGAGGAAAACAAAAGCTCTTTCTAGGGCAGACACAGATCACTGTTTAGCCGACCAATTACAAAACAATTGATGGGGGAAGTTCTTAATTTTAGGGAACCAGTAATGTGTGTGTAACTACAGTCTATATAATGTAAAGTAACTAGGCTAGATTTACCCATCAATGGCTTCTTGTTTGCAATAACGGCAGTAAGCCTTGCAATATTTTGTTGAGACAAAGCAGACAGCTTTCCCAGGTCTCCTACTATGTACAATGACGCATTTGTTTAAAACACATACACAGCCGAAAAGAAAAACGGGAAAATCACTATGAAGTATTATGTCAATGTTTGAGATGTACTCTTCCAGGAACACAAGTTTTTGATTTTAACTAGTATGGATGAGAGAAAAAAAACAAAGACTTTTAAAGAACCTTGCCTTCTGAGAAATGCTGACTGAAAAAAAGAGAATATTTTCTCCTTAGAAACAAAACGTACCATAACATGTCAAATAGGCTGGCATTAGCTTATACTCTACTTCTAGGACTAGGTATAATCTATATAGTTATATAGTTTTGAGATTAGTAGGAATGAAGAGATGCACATTCTAAATATAGTGGAAGACCTCCAAAGAAAGGTTTTCTTCTTCAGTCTTTAACGTGAATAAAAGCAGTGTGTGTACTGCATCCACGCTGCAGGAACAAATAGGACAGATGCAAAACAGAAAAGACTCAGCAGGAACAGACTAAACTGGCGCTATCCAAGACAGTGACACAAGGCGTCTTTATCACATAGGGCAGTGTCATGGTTTAAACCCAGGCAGGCAACTTGTTCACTCACTCCCAGTGAGTGGTGCCGGAATGACAACAATCGAGGCCCCCCCACCAACTGGGGCTCTCCCCTTCCCCGCTACCAGAGTGCAACTCCCACGGGTTGAGACAAGAACAGCCCAGCAACCAATGTACAACACAAATCACCACCACTACTACCAATGACAACAACGATAAGGGAAAATAACAAGGGAAGAGAATACGATACCACCGGCCAAGAAACGAGTCCCACCCGGAAGCCCGTGTCCTTGCAGCTAACTCCCAGTCACCCCCCACCCCTTGGCTAGCCTGGGTCAGGCGCCCCGTCTCTGCTTCCTAACATACTCCCCTCCTCCCTGCCAGAGCATGAGCCTCACAAAGTCCTTGGTCAGGGTAAACATCACTTAGCAGCAACCGAAAACACTGGTATCACCAACACTGTTCCCAGGCTGGAAGTCAAAACACAGCACTGCACCAGCTACCACGAAAGAGAAACATGACTGCTACTGCTGAACCCAGGACAGGCAGAGATTAAGAACAGCCATAATCCTGGCCAGTTGGGTTGAATTATTTCAATGGAAATTTTGGGGGGTTTCTGGTTTATGGAGTTGTTTTTTTCTTTTTTTTTTTAATTGCAAATTTTTGCCAGCTGTCATTTTTAAGCGCACAACAGAAGCGGAGACAGTAATTCTTCAGGGTCACCCAGGCAGACATGAAAGTTTGGCTATCAATTGAAACTGCACTTCCTAGTACATCTGTTCTATGTTCAGCATCAGCATCATCTAAACACATTCTATGTGAGGAGAAATGCGGAGAACTGAAGGGGCAGGTGGAACTAGGTACGATTTATTTGAGGCTGCTGAGGAAGATGTTCGTTATCACTGCAAGGTCGCTCTTTATCACTCTTGAAAGGTCACTGTGAATAGAGAAGGGCACTTTCACTGGGTTAAGTATCACACCCTTTCCCCAGAGAGGTAGGGAGAAAGATCCAGGGACCTTGGATCCAAACCTCACCTCAGCTTACCAGGTACGGAGCAAGGCTGAACAAGAGACAATGTCAGACCAATTAGAAGAACATGATTAGACCTGTCAGCTGTATGGTGAGACTAAGCAGGATTATCCAATGCTCTGGTATTTTACCAACTTCCTCAAGAAGCCTACTGCCATGGCCCATCAGGATTACTGACATGCCTAGTAGATGTGTCCCTTTCTCCTGGTCTCCTGCTCACAAGCATGCTCACCTCTTGCCCACTCTAGCCCAGAGCCCCCCCGTAGCATTTTTAAGAAAGGGTCTACTGCACAAAAGGGAGACAATGTTGGCACACACAGCCACGGAGTAGAAGGAGAAGATACTGCCATAAAACTGGCTGGGTCATCAACAACAAACCAGCAAGTGTTCCACAACTTGTATTTTAATACTGACTATTAAGGAACCACAGTAAAACATTTTCTTTGTGTTTGGTGAAAAAAAAAAAAATAATTGGAAAGACATACTAAAATGTTGCTTAAAATTGACCAATTTGCCTGGATTACAGCTTTTGCAATCAGCCACACTTTTAATATGATTCATACCTTTCTGACTAGAAAGAAAAACCAAGCTGGCTAGTCATTGCTTTAACCTCTATTACACTGAACCAACTTCTACACTTACAGACACAGTATGATAATCAAATGTACAAATAAATGTAAAATAAGGCAAACAGATTTCATTTTTTTATATTTTTTGTCTACTGCTGCTCCTGCAAGACACTGACTTGAGACGTCCATGATTTCAGTCATTCCTGCACTCTGTGTGTGTCACTATGCTTTATGTGATGGACAACATTAAGCTTCTGTTTAACCAGTCATGGGTTTCATCAAGTGCTATATGCTGGTGATTTCCCTTTAGCCTTTAATTCTCTTACTCATGAGAAACACAAGGAATGAAAAGTCTCCTCCACTATCTATGGAAAAAAAAAAAAAAACATCTAATGCTGTACCCATTAGTTTCAATTTCCAAATAATTGTTGTGGCCCAAGGCAAAAACTGCAATACTTAATGTATATATCAGGTTCTGATTTCCAACAGTGATGCCTGTAGGCAAGTTAAAGTACACAATCAAAAAATCATTTGCATGAATTTGCTACCACATAGTTGTATGTACTTTTAAATCTTCTTGTTACATTTATCTCCACTTTCTCAACATTTAGATGAGCTCTTAGAAGGAGGGGGGAAAGTCTGTACCATAATCAGAGTCTTGAGATTAAGCTTTAATTTGCACTGATGAGGAAGAGCAAAGGAAGGGACAGACATACAACAAGGAGCTCTGAACAGAATCACTTACTATGTTCCATAGCGTTTCAAGGAATTTCAAGAGCAGAATATCATTTGCAATAACAAAACCAAAAGCTCTGCAACACTCCTACTCTGCTGTACAGTTAACACTCTATGAGAAAATATCCTAAAATGATAATGGCTATACAGAGTAACCTAGATTGCACAAAACAATCATATTGGAAATCCAAGTGTTCCAAACTGGGTTCCACATATTTAACCGTAATTTTGGGATGAAAAATAAGGCAGTAATACTTCTACTTCCTGGAATCTACTCTGAGAATCAGAGCATGCACTTCTTTCCCAGTATACATTTGGCCACTGCTTACTGGCCTTAAAAATTCCTTGTTAGGTTAGCTTCCAATAAAGAGGTAAATTAACATACAGACACAAGGTGAAGCCTTTATTGAGAAACTTACCTCAAGAGCAAACATTCTGTCCATCATACTTCTTGATGAGGTGGCATCAGCTACAATATGAACTTCCAGACCTCTGCCGACTAATTCCAGTGCTGTTTGCTGGATGCAGACATGAGTCTACAGAGGAGAAATCAAATGCAAAAAAAACACACACACACAAAAAAAATCATTATAAAACATATGCAGCACAATGCCAAAATTAGAGTTCAAACATTTATCTTTCTACCCCTGACATTATTGAAGAACTCAATCTGGGGTTTAAATGCCAAAGAAGCTTGAGACAAGAGCCTGTGAAGTATCACATTTCAAAGTTTATTATGAGATAATATCAAACCTGTATAACAGTAATAATCTGTATAGGACATCTGAGTTCAAAGCAGTATAAATTGACTTCTTTTTTTTTTTTTTAATAACAGAAAGCAATGCTAAATGCTACTGTGGGCCAACACACATTACCATGAAACAGTACAAGAATGACAAGGCACATACTTCTACTCCAAACAGGACAACGCTGCGGACTCCAGGGATCTCTGCTAAAGCTGCTTCAACTTCCGGTAATACCATTGAAAATTTTGTTTTAGGAAGTACAAGTTTAGCTCCTGTTAAATCAATTTCTTGCACAGTGCTGCCAAGACCTTTGGGATACTGTTCAGTTACAATAACTGGAATTCCTAAGAGCCGTGCACCCTGGAGCTGCAAGGGGACAGGAAGGAAAGTATGTAAGAAAATAAATTATTAAAGAACGATCATAGCAAAAGCACTGTTATTATCTAAAGCTGAATAACTAGTAAACTGGCTATGTATAATGTAATGAATTTGTATGTGTGATCAAAAGTCACTACAAGAAATAAAGCAAACACCATACCAGTCGCTGGCCCACGCTGATGATATCACCAAAGTACTTGATGGCAGGCCGGAATCGCTCTTGCATATCACAGCAGAAAAACACAGTGCTTGAGGGTGTCAAGTTGCCCAAAGTTGTCATCTGAAAAACAAAAATAAAGATAACGCTTTCCATGACAGTGAAGACCCTTTCAGAAAAGCAACAGAATAAGAAAAGTCTGCAAGACCTCTGCCAGGTAACAGATTTATGTTACTTTAAGTCAAAATAGGAGAAAGGTTTTTCAAGCATATCATAGTTTTTGTATGTTTCCAAATTCAAATGAACAGCTGATACTGAGCAGTATGGTACAGACATCCATAGGGAATCAAGATTTAATTAGGTGGGAGACACAAGTTAATGTAAACGTACATGGAAACTTGTGAACTCTGAATGGAAGCAAAGGATAAGGCTTCAGCTGGAGGCTACAAGGAAAGAAAGCAACCACATACTATCATTTAGTTGTAATGGAACTCAAGAGAACTTATATCCATTCAGAAGCTTCTTAGCAAATTGATAAATTGAATAAACTGCTTCTGGGAAGTAGCCATTAACTATAAACACTCCATTTTCTTCAGACCAACGCTATTATGTTTTCAACTAAAAATTACAAAAACTGTACAATAGTGTATTTTGGAAGAGCAAGGATGTATTTGGTTTACATGGCAAGGTTTTGGTAGTAAGGAAGGAGTGCAGGGGTGGATATTGTGAGAAGATGCTAGAAACTGCCACATGCTGGACAAAGCCAATACCAGCCAGGTTCAAGAAGGACTTGCCACTGGCCAAGGCCAAGCCCATAAGCAATGCTGGTGGCACCGCCATGGTAATATACTTAAGAAAGGGGAAGAGTACTCAACACTGCGCAGCAGCAGCAAGGAAACAGGAGTGAGAATATATGAAACAACTCTACAGACACCATTGTCAATGAGGAAGGAGCAGAAGGAAGTGCTCCAGGCACCAGAGCAGAGATTGCCCTTGCCTCTTGGAGGACTCCACACAGATCCTCCACATCCACCACAGGGCATGGGGATGTGCCTGCAGGAGGCTGCAGACCTGTGGCCCCAATGGAGAGTAGCTCAGGCAAATCTTCTGGCACGACTTGTGATCCTGTGGGGATCCACGCTGGAGCAGTCTGTTCTTGAAGGACTGCATCCATGGAAGGGACCCTGGCTGGAGAAGTCTGTTCCTGAAGGACTGCATTCATGGAAAGGACCCACACTGGAGCAGCCTGCTCCTGAAGGACTGCATCCATGGATAGGACCCATGCTGAAGAAGTCTGAAGTACTGCACCCTGTCGAAGGGATCTACACAGAAGTTTGTGAAGGACTATCTCATGGCAGATGCCACACTGCAGCGGGAGAGAAGTGTGAGCAGGAATGGCAGAGACAGTGTTAAGAACTGACTGCAACCCCATTCCCCATCCCTGTGTGCTGCTTGCAGGAACAAGGTAGAAAAGCCAGAAGTGGAGCTGAGACTGGGAAGAAGGGAGGGGTAGATGGAAGGTGTTTTTATATTTGTTCTTATTTCCTAGTTTCCTACTCTATTATTGTTTGGTTAATTAATTAATTAACCCCAGTTGAGTCTGTTTTGCCTATAACAGTAACTGGTAAGTGATCTCCCTGTCCCTGTCTTGACTCACAAGCTTATTGTCATATTTTCTACCCCTCTCCTGTTGGGGAAGGGGAGAGTGATAAAGCAGCTTAGTGGACACCTGGTGGTTAGCCAAGGTCAACTCACCACAAGGGAATGTGGAATCCCAAGTCTTTCATTGCTTCACCACATGTGTGCCAAGTAAAACAATTTTGATCTCAGTTTCCAAGGCTAAAAAACTGTATTAATGGTCTGTTCAAACTGTTGTGAAAGTTACTTGCACACTATAAATTGTAAATTCCCACACCTCTCGCATTTAATACACTACTACTGCTCAAACAAAAAACGCTCATAACCGCAGTGGGCAAAAACGCAATGCTGTTAGTACAAGCAATTACGAAGGCAAATGCAGTTAAGGACTGTAAAGCAGGTTGTCTAACACTGGACCCACTGGTGCCACAGGAAAACAGAAGAGCATGACAACGGCCATCAGGGGAAATCTTTGTCAATACAAAGCTACAGCTGCACTGAAACAGGCTACCACAAGTGGCAGGATCTCCATCCTCAGATGTTTTCAGCATTCAGCAAAATGACAACTGATTTGATGAAGAACTGGCTTTGCATAGGAGTCAGTGAAGGCAGTCTCGAGATAGCTCTCCCAAACAACATTTCTGTGATTCTATGCCATGTAGTAAATAAGGTCTGGGATCAAGAATGCTTGAAAGCAAAATACTGAATAACTGCCTTTTCTTGAACATCATCCATCTATGTGTTTGAACAATGCGAAAGCCAGTTGGTGGGAAGTATTGACATACAATTCAACATCACAGTGAGCATTCACAGTGACCCATTCTAACTCCAGCATTTAGTACCATCAGTCAATCATGACATTTAACTTTTCTATGGCTCAGAAGCAAAAACAGAGTAATTGGAATAGATGATATTTGTAAGCATGCCTCCTACTCAGAAAACGTGTCATCTTGTCTCAGCCTTTATATGACAAGCAAAGACCATTACTTCCTTTTAGAAATCATCTCATCACTTTTTTTTCTTAAAGATCATTTTGAACTACTGTAGACCACCACTAAAAAGTAATCTATGTAGAATTAGTTTACTGCCTTAGTGCACATCTACTTGTGTCAAGGCACCGGATGGTGCTACCATCCTTAGCAAAGGAACAAGTAGGAATATAGACCAGGAAGCCTTCAAGAAGCTGCACAGTCTGCCTCTACAGAAGGATCACCCAAACACTACTATTCTTCACAGATACCTACCTGATCTCACCTATACACAATACACAACACACAGAGCTCTTACATAATCCACCCTAGAGCTCTGCTACCTTTACCCTGCGGTGTTTTCTCACCCACACAGTACAGATGTATATATATATACACACACACACATATATACACACACACCATTTTGTTGCCACTTAGGAGCATTATTTCCAGTTCTGTCCATGCTGGATTTGAAATGCAAAGCATCACCATCCTCTTCCATGTGCATAACCATGCACAAACACTTATTACCATATCTCAAGACTCAAGATCCAGTCTCCCTTTAGTCCTTCCCCTTCCTTATTTTAAAACAAATCAATATTTTCAATCTTCCCTCCTACAAGTCATTTTCATTGTCCTCCCAGTTGTGCTTTTCAAATAGCAGGCTAGAGCAAGGCACGCAATACTTGGGTATTGGGTGCATTTTTCTGCAGTATTTCTCTGCCCGTAACATTTCTCAACATCAGGTCAGCTCCCAGCCCCTGCGGGCCCTGTTCAATTTGTACTTTCCAGTATGCTATTTGCTCTTTTCATAATTGATGATACTTTGATCCTCAAAACCATCCCGTGAACTCTCCCTCATCTTTTGTTTGTAGAGTTGATTACGTCTACCTTCGCACAAGAAGTGCTTCTACCTTTGTTGCTTCCACTTTGAACAGCATCTTACTTCAGGTTTTTCTCCAAAATGTCACGAAAATCCTGAATTCTGGTCTCCCAGATGCTTGAAGCTCCTTCCAGTTCAGCACCTTCTGCAAAAACAGTATTTGCCCTAAGTTTGGGCAATGAAATAGGTGGTGGAATATTAACAGACAGTGGATTTGGAACAGATCTTAGAGCCAAATTCAGTATTATTCACATTTGACAGTGAAGCACAGAGATAAAACAACTGCCTTTCTAACCAGGGAGCGTCCTCAATACAGACTTCCACTGAATCTATAATCCCATGTGTTTATGTCAAACATCACAGGGAGCTGGAACAAAAGGCTTATATCTGCTTTCCTCTATTGTCAAGTTGGTTTCATATGATTTAATTTATGCCTTCAAGTTTAATACAGCCAGCACTCTAAAATGAAGTTGATTCAACTATAAAAAAAAAAAGTTCTTACAAAATCTAACACCAGTAATATCTATGTTGAATTTCATATTTATTTCTGATTAACTTGCAGTCTGAATCAAACCATGCCATGCAACTTGTGGCAGAATACAAAGAAATCAGAAGAAACAGACATCAAAACTAAAAAAAAAATAATAAATAAATCAACACTTGCTGGTGTTACTTAGAAAAGCAGATGTGTAAAGGATGAGACTGTAGCAAAAAGCAGTTTGAAATGAAGTTTCATAAACAGTAGGTAATGCAGGCCATAAATAAATTCACAGAAGTATCTGCTGTGTATAAAGGAAAGTTTCTGTTCACTGGTTCTTCAATGTACCACATAAATCCTACCGCTCACTTGCTCTCAAAGCCATCCACCTCTTTCACAGCCTCACTGTGCCAGGAATATAGGGGACCTCCACCTCATATATCCCCTGACAGTGAAAACCACAGATGCCTGCACGGCTCCAGCACTACACTGTACCAGTGAGCTGGGGCAGGGGCAAAACTACACCCAGACAGCAAAGCCCAGACTGGCACACCAGCACCCACTTACCTTCACCCCAAGAGGCAGGGTGGGCAATGCTGGTGAGCCACTGCAGCTACCTGCGGGTCAACTACATATTTGCTAAATAAAAGCAAATCCACCCTACATATAACATCTATTCAGCCATGATACCACTAAACAATTTAAAAGACAAACACACAAAATCTAATAGAAAAAAAAAAACAACCAACCAAACAAACAAAAAAAAAAAACACAAAAAAAAACCACCAAAAAACACCAACACCAAATCACTGGAAGTTCACACACACAGCAAGTTTTTCCATTTGTTTAGCTTCACCCCTCTCAGTCACCAGGAGTTTCTCTCCTCCAGCCAGAAGTTAGCCACAGCACAACCAGAACAGGTATGTCAGACAGACATGTAACCTGATGCAGCTCTTCCACCCAGCTAGAGAAGTAATCTCTAGGACCTTGTCTGCACCAGGATTTTAAAGATACGCTGTCAAAAGTTACATACAGCTTTAAACCCTACTCTACAAAAGTCCTAGGTGGGAAAGAACAGGTGTTTCTTCACATTTATTGCATCTCTGCTGATTATTCTTAATCATACAAATGTGACTGTGATGAAGTACTGTAATTATAGAATCAGCTTTACAAAAATATTCACATATACTGGCTCTTTATCAGCAATTTCCCTGTGCAAACTTCAGGAAGCATTTGACATACAAAATGCTTTTTTTTTTTCCCCAGTATTTGTAATGAGCAAGTAAATGGAAGGAGAGAAAGAATCCTAGGTGACATCACTAGTCACATCATAAATTTCTTGCCAAGGTTAAGCCCAAAAAAAGGCAGAGGAGGACCTTGCAGCCTTGGTACTTTAAGGATGGCAACAACAAAAAGCAACTGATTACCATTGCTGCTGCTTCTTTATTTCTAAAAGGAAATCTGTAAAATTCAGTTCGACTTTGCTTCTTATCTTTCAAAGCGAAAAAGATCTGAAGAAATTCAGTTTAATGTATCAGAAAGGAAAAACAGGTTACAAGCGTTTCAACTTAGGAGCACAAACATTTATTTTGTGCTAAGCCGAAGTACAGTCTTTTGTATGCAATTCATCATTTTAAAAGGACAGATTTAGTTAGATAAGCACATGTTAACATAATTAAGAGAGTGCAAAATTCTTCATCAAAATCCAAAATTATCAGAATGCTACCTATAGAGGAAAGATACACAAACCAGGAGTCTGGATGTGAAGAAACCTCTCTGAACATTCTACCTTTGAGGAAAAGGAAAAAAAAAAAGCAAACACCTCCCCTGACCTAACTCATACCCTGCAATTCATGCTTCTGCTTTTCCTGGTCTTCAGAAAATGGACTTAGGGTCCTGCTTTAATGTTATTTCTATTTCCAAAACACCTGAATATAGCGATATTAGATATGTGTAAAAAGAGTGTAAATCTGTATACAAGTACTTCTATTTTATTTGCCTTTTCTTTCAGCAACAGTTTAGTGTCACTCTGCAAGCAGCTTTCTGCAAGAAACATATGCCTGAAACATCAACATGTCTTTTAAAAAAACACCCTGAACTACAAGTGCTTTTTCCAATTATATTATCTTCACCCTTTTAGCTCTAGTGTCTTAAGGTTACAAGTTTGCAAATGCAGAGCACAAATACTGCCTAAGTCACCTTGAAGTTATGAAAGCAACTGTGAAAAAGGCTCTCTTGGACATATATTTAAATGCTGCCTGACCTCCCCTATTACATGCCTGAAAAGAGCATAGCTGTCCTTTTGACACCTCTGAAGTGTTTTTCCTTACTGTTTCTCTCCTCCAAAGAAAGCTACAACAGTTAATGGCAAAACACAATTAGTTTTAGTAGCACGATTTACTTGCATTTATAGTCAGAAGAGGTTACAGTGGTCCTGCATTCCCCTGCCCTGACTGTATTACAGTGTTAAAATTTCCATCCCGGAAAAGCAGATGGCCCCTTTTTGCTAGTACTCAGGTTGCAAGCAGATGCCCTCCTCACCAGCTGGGAGAGGCCAAAGGAGAAGTCCTCCGCACTGCAAGTCTGTGGCTGAAGAGCTTCAAGGGCAGCAGCCAAGCTGAACGTCAGTGTTTACTGCATCGCACCACCCTGCCTAACACTGGATGGCCATTGAAACTTCAGCTGTTTTGCACCATGACAGTTAAACCAAACAAATGTACATGTACAAGCGCATTACAAAGGCACAAATATGACTGGAGAGAAAATACCCTGCACAGATCGAGCCTTGAATTGAGCTGCATGGAGTGGTTTAGCTTTCCAAGGGCAGTATACGGGGATTTCCTGTGAGATTACTGCCCCCCTCAACGGCAGGGACAGGAAATTGAAACAGCCCCATCAAATACCATTTAATGCTGACATTTCTTTAGCTACTGCAATAAAAGCATCCTTCTGTAACAGGTCTGCACAGGAATCAAAACAGGAGGATATCATTCCAGAGCTCAGGGCACTACTGCCCTAGGAGTTAAAATGCCATCTCTAGCTAAACGCATACTTGTATTTTATAAAGCACGCACATAAAAATACTGAAATTACTGTCTAGGGATATGGATTCTACTATCTGTGAATCTTAGTTTTAAACTAAATACATCTTTCTAAATATGAGTGTCTAATTTATCAGCAAGCAAAGGTTGTCCCTTTAGAAAGACATGTTAAAAAGCGTGTTTCAACCCACTATGATACACGCAGATGACAAACCTGTGTTAACTGTAGATAAAACATCAGAGAGGGGGAGAGGGGGGAGAGAGAAAGCACATGAGAGTGGCAAGTGCACGAATCAACGTACAGAGTACAACCTTCCCATCAGTAAATCCTGAAGGTCTTAAAAAGCGCAGCTATGACTGTATCAGACCAAATGTTCCCCAAACAAGTGATCTCTGAGCACCTGCCGGTGGCTTAAGGCAAGCTCACTGACAGCATTGTGATGTCTCCAGCTCATTCTCAGCTGCTGAAGCACATCAAGGAAGCAACTAAAATAATATACAAGTACCAACCTTTGCGTATCAACAGTTGCTATTGTTTAGAATGTTAACCATATTGGCAAAAGGAGATAATCTATTAGGCAATTCAGTACCGGCTCATTCTGAATCCCTGTAGTCAGTCTAAGCTGCATAGTGCATCTGCACTCTGGGAATGACAAATCCTCCTATGTCTCAACACTGACCTTTTACACACAGATCCACGTCCTGCTACGAATGCTCAGGCTGCATTTACAATTTTAGTGCAGAAACCATCTGCAAGAGTCTTTACAGAGCACTGATCTGCACACACAAACAAAATTCTGACCTGCACGATTGTTATACACACTCTGTTTTTAAAATCCTTGCTGGAATTAAGCAAGGTATGAACCCACACCAATTCTCACTGCAGGCTGGAGGGACTGCCCTTTCCAGTGTCTCTGGCCGGGCCCCCATCCATTCTGCTTCCAAGACACAAAGCAGAAAGGTTTCAAACTGAGTATTATGAATGAAGAATGATGACATTAATAGCAAATGACAAGTTACTAAATGAGCTTGGTGTTCTTAGCCACTCTTTCCATACACAGGACTAAGGAAAGGACAAAAAACTCCAAAGGCATCCTTGATGTACAGCTTAAGCAAACAGGTCACCTTGCAAGTTTACAGGTTCAAGACACTACAACTGATCATGATCTACAAACAGCATGAATTAAACCGTTTTTGAAAACATAAAGAGAATGCCAGCAATGTTTCAGTTTTTATGACATCACTTTTTCAACTTAGTAATACTGGCTCAACAAACTAAAACTTCTTAATTATAAATTGAGAAGAATGTTCTAAATTAAAACAGTAAGTACGTAGATTTTTTAATTATTTTTTAAGTTGACTTCCTTGATGCTGGAGGAAGGAAAAAAGGATTTATTTTTTTTTTTCTTCCAGTGCAACTACTACAGCACAACTGGCACAAATCTTCAGTGTGCATGAAGATATCTTAGCATGAAACACGCATACTGTATCTGCCTGGCAGTCTGGTTTCCTGGCTTATGGCCACAAAACAATCAAGTTATGGACCTGTAAAACATAAAGAGCTTTTGGGGGCAAGAAACGATAGAGAAATCCTGGCCACTACGAGCCATAAGACCGAGCCCTACCAGAGCCCTCTTCACCGGCATCCTCCCAGCTTCCACCTAGGCAGCATTACCTCCGGTTGAAACCAGCAGCACCAGGCGCAGGTTTTAAAGGAGTATTGGTTACTTCTGCCACTAGGCTACTTTCCCATTCATGCGGGCCGGGTAAGTTCTCACTCGCTGAAGGCAAAGCCCGGCTACCACATGCGTGCTGCGCGGAGTGCACCTGCCTCACCTCCGTAGTAAAACTAAAGTTTCCGCGCACAAATAAGCGAGCGCGGCTTGCGGGGCTGTGCCCGCGACTCCAGCTCGCTTCGGGTGGGCTTCTCCGGCCGCCGCCGCCGCGCTCGCTCCCCGGAGGACGGGGTAGGGACCGGGCAGCCGCAGCCCGCGGCAGGACGGGGCCACCCCGCACACCTGTGGCGGCCGGTCTCACCTGTATCTGCAGCGGCACCAGGCGCACCTTGCAGCGCTCGTTGACCAGGAAGCCCTTGGGCAGGTCTATGTACTGGCTCCACTCCTCGGCGAAGAGCTGCACCACGAACTTGCGGTGCATATCTATTTGGTCCCCGTAGAGGCTGAGGAACTTCTGGATTAGCAGCTCGTAGCCGGCGCCATGAGGCACACTGGAGGGCCGCGCGAAGACGGAGAAGCAGAAGAGGACGGGCACTGAACCGCCGCCCGCCGGCGAGCAGCCCCCACCAGCCGAAGCACCGACTGGCTCCGCCGCCGCCATCTTCAGGGGCAGCCGCGCTCAGCTCTGCCAACTCGCTGCGGCCCGCTCCGCCACTCCTCCTCCCACCGCCTCCTCCTCCCGGCCGCGCGGGCGGTGCCGGCGGCCCCCAATCCCGGCTGCAGCTGCTCCTGCTCCTCCTTCTCCTCGCCATGGGGCCTGGAGCGGCCCCGCCACCTCGCGGGGCTGGGCTCGCCTCCGGGGCGCCCCACTCGGGCGGGCACTCTCTCTTACCGCCGCCGCCGCCTCTCTTCCGCGGAGGGCGGGTGCCGCCTGTCAGGCGGGCGGCGGGAGGGGCAGAGCCCTGTCACCCGGCGGGGCCAGCCCGGGTCCCGCAGGGGAGCGCAGGCGGCGGTGGGGTCTGGCTTCTCCCGCCGGGGACGTCCCCGTCGTGGGGTCGGCGCGGCCGGCAGGCAGCTCGTCTTTCCCGGGGCGCGCCCAAACGCCGCAGGGCTGAGCGACTGGGGTAGGGGGCTGGGAGCCGCTGTGCCGCGGCGGCGGGCTGACGGGCTGCAGGCAGGGCGGGCGGTGGGGAGTGGTGCGGCCGCACACCGCGGGAGCTGGGGAGGAACCTGTTGATGCGGGTTGAGAGGTGCCCGGGTTCTTTCAAGTGTGAGCTAGTCCGATCTTAGAGCTAGATAGGGAACAGCTGCTCGCTCTACCGGTACCGAAACCGGTTGTTGAGTGTAACACGAGGCTTTTCTCGGGAATGTCAGTTTGTGAACTGATGCACGCAGAGGTTCCGAACCTGCAACTGCACCCATAGATCATCAGCAGTGAGCAGGATGCCGTGTATCCACACATTACATTCTTCCCAGCTTCGTGTACTCTGCGGTATTTCCAGATTCATTAACCTGCTTTTGTTCATTTTTTTCCTTTTTTTTTTTTTTCCTCTTGTGCTGCATTGTGCTTGGCAGAAAGGATCCTACTATTGTGTTACACTTGTAGAAAGAAAATCCTCTTAACTCCAGTGTTTTGGATGTTTTTATGCGCTATCCAATCAGCTGCACCACCACCAAGGTTTGTGGATGTCTGCCTGGCTCAGTATTCTCAAAGTTGTTCTCGTGCCTTACTGATGTGAGAAATACAGAGCTGTCACATTAAATCGCAATGACGTTTCCATTAGATCCCCCCCCAAATAATTCATTGTTGGTGCAAACTGGTTTAAAAATTGCAAGTACAAGGAGCTTTTCACAATTCCGTATTTACACACTCATTACCTACTAGGCACTGAAGCATCCTGAAACGTTTGGTTTTTACACTACCAAAGAAGCAAATGTGCAGTAGCTTCTGCCCATTACAGGGAAAACATTCAAGTTTCACTGTGTCTAGGTAGAAATTACACAGTAAGGTTTTAAAAAGATTCCATCGCAAGTCTGAAATACACATTGATTCTGCCTTCTATTACTGCCGGTGGATTCACAGAGAATTTGCGCCTTCATTCCAGAGGAGGTAGTGACATCTGATTGTATTCATCCTAAATGAACACATCTCTATGATTAAGAAGTGCTTTTAAAAGAGTAAATACGCAGCAAGTTCTGTCCATCTGCGGTCTGCTTAAACACTTGAGCCTGTCTCGTGTGACAATATTTAGCTGGGAAAACAGCAATTTTCACCTCTAGAAACACATATATGGGAGCATTCGGTGAAATGTATACAATTCTGTTCCACCTGCCAGGTAAAATATATCAAGAAGACAGGGTTCAGGGCTTCCTTTAATTCTTTGTCCATGCTTACTGCTGATTTAATTTATGAATACAGCCAGTCATTAATGCTGTTACAATAGAGGCATATGGGGTGAACAATTTTATGGCTTACTCATTAGCTGACTTGAATCAGTTCCAGATTTCTGAGAGAAAAGGTGACAAATTGAATACTCAGTGAAGTCTGTTTAGTTTCTGTGACTTAAATTGGCTTCCAGTTCTTAATTTGTACTTTCTTTTAATTGAGTGCAGTTCCAAAATTCAATGTATTTTTAAAATGTAGCATGGGTAGGGTTTTGCTGATTAATGGTATCTTAAATGAGCTTCCTTTTTCCATTATGGCATTATAGCAAGATTTTTTAACTAATACAGTTAACAAGATACACTGTAGCAAATTCTTACCTTTCTACAGTTGCTGTCTACCATGAATATATTTGAATACAAATTACTCAGTTAGTATGCAGAATACATAACTGATATTTTGGTAAATTGACCAGATTCAAGCTTATTTAAATAACTGAAAATTTTGGTAACAGAGTAACCAAACATTTGATAACATTTGAGCTATGGGGATTCATCCAAAATCTGGATGAGCAGGGGCTCTTCTACTGCAGGTGACCATTGACCCTGTCTGGCTCCGATCAAGGAACAGGAAGGGAGAGGGACACAGACATACAGAGTGGGGGCTGCTCCTCCCTCTCTCCCTGTCCAAGGTCTTGCAGGCAGGGCAGGGGAGGTCAAACACCAGATCTCTGTGCGTGCGCATAGGAAGGTAAAGCGCACATAGGAAGGTAAAGCCCGATAGCTGCTTTCTATGCAACCCATTTGTCCTTGCCAAGTGACACCTAACCTTGGCTTTTATCTGCATCTTAACTCCACTTGTATCGTAGTACACCACCTTGGATCTTTCTGCATTTTGAATTCTCTCTCTTCACCCAGCCACTCCACAATCATTCTTCTTTTTTTCACTCCACAATCAGTCTTTTCATATGTAGTTGAGTTTTAACTCTGAAAGCATTTAGGTCATTTTGAGTGGCTTCCTGTGCTTGGATGCTGCTGTCCCATAGAGAAAGACACCTCTCATGGAAGTAGATCTCAGACTATGATTTTTTCTACCCCAGACTCTGGTAATCTTAAATTTTTGAAGAATCATCCCTGAGACACATACTCAGGAAGGGACTCTTTCCAAGCATCACCAGCTGGGTGCGAGTTAAATTCACTGACTTTTCATGTGCCTTCTAATCATACAGATCCTGTGGCAGCTTCTAATTAAGTTGCAGAGGTCTGGCACCATCACAAATACGAGGCTCTAGCACACATAGAAAATCCAACATAGCATTTTTTGCTTCACTTAAAGAGAAGGGTTTGATGAGCTGCACAGGGAGAACGTCCAACAATCCACATTATATTGGCCTAAAACAAAGATGTCCTTTTACCCAGTTTGAACAATAGGTGTGTGTTAGAGAATTTGTAACACATCTCTTTGGCACTTCACATTGCAAGCAATGTGTGATTGGTTCTTGAGCACAATCAAGAAAAATACATCTTCTAGAATGTCAGTGTTACTGATCTCCAGTCATGGTTTGGCTTGGGTTTTTTTAGGTGCTGCCAATCTCACACTTAAAAGCTCAGCATATGCCAAAATCATAAAAAAGTGGATATAATCACAGCAAATATGCCTTTCTGGTGGTACATACAATAACACACTATAAAGAAATTTACTGGAAACTACTGAAGTATCAGAGATTTTAAGTGAAGGCCACATTTCCTTAGCACAGTTCTAAAATTTCTATCAAGTATTCCTATTAGCCAGTCCATTGGCATTCTGCTCAGAGACAAGGCTCTGCCTCCCACATGGGACCTTCCTTTCCTGCAGCAGAACTGAACAAGGTCATCTATCTGTAGCCTCTGGAAAGCATTTGTTTGTTTGTTTTTGTTTGTTTTCAGCAGTTAAGAAGCACATCCATTAAGTGCTAGGATGGGTAAGGTGAAAGAGATGGAAGCTCATACTTAAGATGTAAACTTCATAAAGGGAAAAGAACTCATTTTTTTGTAAGACAAAACCAGTTCATTATCCTAACTTTTGAACGAGGGTTTACCAGTTTCTCTATTCAAAGTTTCAGAAGTATATTTTCTGCCTGATTCATTTTACTTGGGTGTTTCAGTCTACCTGGAAGCCTATCATATGGTCATTTTCTGTAGAACAAAACACAACGTTCTACATTTGAATAAACCTACAAAAATTACACTCTCTCCAAACTACTCCATTGAAAATTACAGTTAAATCATCCGTAGTGTAAGTCCTAGGAAAAAAAATAAGTTACTGCTCTGGTGGTGCCTTCTGTATGAGTCAGAAAAAAATGTGAATGGTGAGGCAGTCCTGTGCAGTTTTGTGCCTTGGAAGTGCAAAGCAAGGAGGTAACTTTAAAATCTGAGAGAGCCAACAGATTTCTTACAAAATTTCTTCCTCTTTGGCACAGCAACTGCCTGAAATTTACGCATCCGCAATAGGAAGGAAGTCAAGGGAAAGGTAACACCCATACTTCATAAATTGACATCCATAAATACACTGCCTTTCTGAACAGTTTCATTGATTTTCTATTGTATCAGTGTTACTCTGTTCCCCTGGGATATTTCAGAATGCTTTTCATCTCATGTCCAAATCACTGCTTTTATTTCCTATGATGGCATGTCACAGATAACATTGATAAAGCAATAGCATTGCCACAAAAACCTTTGTTAAGATTTTTCATCTTGTCCTGAAAACCTGTATTAAGCTACCTTGTTGTGGCAATGTAACCACATTATCATGCAGCTAACACAGATAGCTTAGGTCTGCAGTCCTGACTTTGTAGTCCCAGCTGATCTCTCTGTTGACTTCAATATATCTGGCTAGATCTGTATTGTATTTTAAAACTACTCTTGACACTGGGCTTACAGCCAGATTTGCTTGCTATCTGTACTTAATGCCTGAGATAGTGTCCCTTGCACTGGCTCTGTAGCAATTCTGTTGATACTGCTGGGGTACGTACTGCAGGTACATACTTTGCACTGCTGAGTTGTGCCAGCTGCAGAGTGGATTGCCTCAGCTCTCCGTACTTGGCACAGCCACTTCTGTTTGTCTCATCTGCAGGAGCATTTTCTTAACACTGCACAAAATCCTTTCTAAGAGATATCTATATTTCTGCTGCAGTTTCATGCAATGGCAGTCTGTGTATGAAGTGGTAGAGTCTTTGGGCATTCTGGATGTCAAACTGACCCTGAGATCAGACAACCCAAACATTGCTCGTGTGTGAGCTAATTAGCTTACAACTCTGTTGATGCTGTGTGTTCAAATGACAGACAAGTGTTTGCAGCAGCATGGATGGAAGTAGCTGTGACTGGCAAATAGCTCCTGGAATTTCCTGGGAGAATAAAGCACTCTTCACTTGGTTGGATTTGCTTCCTTGCAAGATTTGGAATTAAGTTAATAATGATAATGTTTTTAGCTTTACCTCTAGAGTCATCTGCCCATGTTGCCCCTTTTATCAAGAATTATCAGACTATTTTATTTCTTTATTTTTAAGACTGCCCATTACATAAAGATACCTCAAAGTAAAAAGCACGTTACCGTGACAAACCTCTGCCCCGCATCTAATTTTGCAGCTTGACAGGTGTTTCAAAGCTAAAACCCCTGTTGATTCAATACCATATCTCTTGGGCTGTATTTTGATATCCTAAATTCCTTTAATGTATAACAACAATGGGAACAGGATAGTAAAATGTGACAATGGTAACCATATTGATGGTAACCATATTGATAAAATATATGAATATGTAAGATAAAATAATAGAAAAAGGAGCTTACTGAATAATTACATGATTGTTTTCTCTGTGATATGTGAAAATAAAAGGCCTTATATATTTTTTTTCAGGTTTGGTAGTCCTCACATTTCTACCAATACGAATAATTACATCCTTCTCCATTACTGCATTAAATACGGTACGGCAATTCTGTTAAAGCACATTCTTAGTGATTATCTTTTACCTTTGTCTGAATCGTAAAGTACAACAGACAATTAAATCTTCAAGATCAGGTATTGCTGCTGTATCCTGTTCAGGAATACTTTAATTACACAGAATTACTTGGAATTACAGCAGTTGTTGATCCAAAGTCTTGGTTAAGTTTCCTTTTGAAACAGGTTTATTACTTTTTTTTTTTTTTAAATGTTGATGTAAATGTACAAACATATGCTTTGCCAGTCAGACAGAATCTCACCAAATAGAAGAGGGCTTTTTTCAACCCCTGGCTTCAAGCTGGCTAATGACCATGGTAGAAACATTAAGGCATACCTGGTAGAATCCATTTTGTTGACTGAAGGTTGATGAACCTGAAAGCATTTCCTTACTGATATAATTGATCTGCATCTCTTGCAGTTGCTCTTCCATCACCCTTATATGCATTAGGTTTTGTGAGTTATTTAAGGTTTCTGTTTAATTTTTCCTTTGAATCAACAATGTTTAATCATGTGTAATACCAGTTGCCATAATCAAGATAGTTTGGAGTATTGTCTGTACTATGCCTTTTGCTTGACCCACAGTTTATGTTTGCTTTTGATCCAAAAATGGTTTGCACATTTTTTAATCAAATAAGCTACTCTTGAAAGAATTCTCAATTCAAATCCTTTGTTTTGTGTAGTTTCTCTCCAATTCAGCAGAACTCTATTAGTTCCGGTAATCCTGTTCTATATTCAGAAGTCACTGCATGTAGTTTTGGTTTTTATTTGTTTGTTTGTTTATAAGACAAATGTTTTATGAGCAGTTGCATTTGGGAGATCTGTAGTTACCGTAGTTGAAGCAAACTTCTTGTGATCATACTTGGAAGAGTTCATACACTATGCACCAGGCAGTATCTTTCCATGTAGTCACGTATATAAAGGGGCACCTTTTTATTCATGCTGTTAGCAATTCTGGACCTTTTCAGTTTGTCTAATTAGGTGGACAAAGATGTAGGGAGCTATCAGACCAGACCTACTTTGTTTCCAGTTTCAAGCTGTATAGCCTTTTTGTAATGACTAAAGCAATAGTTTACTGATAAAAAAGGAAAACATTTAATGCATTTTAATAGTCAGGACAATGAAACACTTCTTCAACTATTGAAGATGATTTGAAATCACCCTGTTGTGTTCTGAGAACATAACTGAGCTTGGCATTAACTGTCCTTTTTCTCTCCATTTTTACATAGTTCTTTTTATCATCTCCTTGAAGACATTAAATTCAGCCTGTGCCAATACTGAAATTAAAAGAAGCCTCAAGGAATTGTAACTCAAATTATTTTTCTTAATGCTTCTGTCTCTATAGGTTGCAAAGCCCTCTGAGCCATCTGTTTCAGGATCCTAGAAAAAACAAGGCATGTGAATGATTTGCTGTGTACAAGAGGGCTATTCCACCAGGTAAATATTGACAGGGTACAGGGGGTGGTAGCAAGCCGCTGGAGGCAACACATGGTCCTGCAGCAGTTGGACCAGAAAAGCAAAGCAGTTCAGGAACAGCAAAGTCTAGTAATGAGGCAGATGTGAGGTCAAGCCAGGAAAGTTCGGACAGCAGGCCAGGGTTGGGATCAGCAAGGTATTTGCCTGGGCAGATGTATTATCAGATGAGTAAGTTAGCCTTTAACTTTTAAAAATATATAATTTTAAAATATATTAGTTAGACCTAAACTCTGTAGTGTAATTTAAATACAGCTGAGTTTTGTCCTCTCTGCTCCTTTCTATGCATGAATAGCTACCTGAATCAACAAGGTATTTCTATCACATTTTGCCTTGGCTTTTTCTTTGAAATGCTTTCTTTCTTGGCATGCTTTCTGACTACATTGGGAAGTGTAGTTTCACTCTTACAAGGAGTACCAGCAAACCGTAACACAGAGGAAACAACTAGGGTTTTTCAGGAGAAAAGAAATATCTTCTGTCTGCTCTTTCACTCTCAGCATTTGTCTACATCACATATATTTTTAAATCAACCACTTCAGTCCTCAGTTTCCCAGTTCTAAATATTTTATTTAGAGCATGTAATTTACTAACCCAAGAGCTCTTTCAAAAGCTTTCTAACTTGATTATTGTCATTTGGAACATCTGCCCGACAAACTTCTGCATTAGCAACTACTGAAGGAAATGTGGTTTTCATTCCTCAGGAGATTCGTTGGTTTAATTCCAGGAATCCTAAATCTGTGAGTGATTTTGCATTAACTAAAGAATTATCCCTTGCCTTCCATTACCTTAAAATTAACTTTTTTTTTTTTTTTTTTTGAGGTGGAATAACAGAACACAGGAGAAAAAAACAAGTCCAGAGCACAGGCAGGCATTTTTAGCCAGAATCCACTCTCAGTATCTTTGAGAGACCAGAATGAATAGCCTCATCATCAGCCCAGGTGTGGCAACACTTGCACACATTAGGTTATACTAATAACAGTGAAGCTGAGTGGCAGTTGACCCACTTTGCAAACAAATACATAGATGTGTCTGAGACATTTAGTGGCTACAAAACTAGTAATTTTTTGAGTTTGGTTTCAGTGCTGTAGCATCCAAAGAAAAGCAAAAGATGAAAAAAAAGCTGAAGAGAGAAAAAGAAAGGTACTTTTTCTTAAAGTTCTTTGTCTTTTCAGGGATTTCTGCTAATAGGAGTAGGGCTTGTGTGACTATTTGTTCAATGATATAATGTAAAATGAATAGTTGTTGAAAGCTGGGGCTAAAAAATCAGTAATTTGAACAGGGGTTTATTAATAAAGAATGATGCAATGGAATGTGCAGGGCCAAAATTACTGTTTTTTCAGTGAGTTCAACTGAATGGCATTGGCAGTGTTACTTAAAAGTTTCAGTACATAAAATCCTTTTCCTTTTTCCTAATAATCCTTGGGGGTTACTTCAAAATGTAATGATCACATGAATTATCTGGGGTTTAGAAAAGGAAAGGGAAAGCAGAACTCCAGTGCCAGCTGTGGGACTGTGGCTTTGAGCAGTCTGTGTTGATAGGCACCGTGCCCTATCCTCTGTGAGAATTTGCAGTGAGGAGGGAAGCTCCATGAGGACCAGCAGCTGCCAGATGTGGGAATTAGCAGTTATAATACAAATCTAATTGTTCAGAAAAACTTTTAGTAAGGTTAAAAAACCCTGCAGTTTTGTAAACTGGACATAAATTTTTCCAATACCTGCTTCCAGGTGAAGTCTTGTCACAGCAGATACTTAATGCACTTGCAGATCAAAAAATATCTATGTAGAACTACTTTTTCAATGGAATGACGTCAAAATCAGTAATATGTTTGTCTTTTAATACTTTACTGAATTTTGCAGGCCATATGCTATCTAGTCTATTGTTTCTGTTGATTTCTCTGTACAACTTCAAGTCCTGCTGGCTCCTGTAATGAGAAATGAGCCTTATGAAACAGAGACAGGATGGTGGTGGCACAAGGCAAGATACTATGATTTATGGAATGCAAAAAGAATTACTTCGCTTCAAATTCTGCAGATCCGTGAATATACAGGATCTGAATGTAACTGTGGAAATTGCCAACAGAACCTGTACAGCGCAACTAACATGAAGGTTGATTGTCATCCACTGCTTGGCTGTGTAAGTACTACTGGTGATAAGCCAACAATCATCATTTGGTCACAAAACCTTTTTTCGCTAGAAGCAGTTTTTAAAAACTCCTTTTATGACACTGGTCTTTGTCGATGTCGTGGTTTAAACACAGTCAGCTATAAATCACGCAGTCACTCTCTCACCCCCCCCCCCCCCCCCCTTTTTTTGCCTTCACCCTGCTCCCAGAGGGATGGGGAGGAGAATCGAAAGAAAGCAACTCCCACAGGTTGAGATAAGAACACTCCAGTAACTAAGGTATAACACAAACCACTACTGCTACCACCAATAATAATAATAATAAGGGAAATAACAAGGGAACAGAATACAACTGCTCACCGCCCGCTGACTGATAACTCTCCCCACCCCGCCCGACGGAGCACTGACTGATACCTCGTGCAACACTGCTGTGAACTAGCCCTTCCAGGTAACTGCCCCCTGTTCTACATCCTGGGCATGACATGCTGTGGTATGGAATACCTCTTTGGTCAGTTTGGGTCAGGTGTCCTGTCTCTGCTTCCTTCCGGCTTCCCTCCTCCCTGGCAGAGCATGAGACTCAGAAAGTCCTTGGTCAGTCTAAACATTTGAGCAGTAACTAAAAACATTGGTGTTATCAGCACTGTTCCCAGGCCGAAAGTCAAAAACTCAGCACTGCACCAGCTACTAAGAAGGAGAAAAATGTCTGCTACTGCTGAACCCAGGACAGTCTACCAAAGCAAGGCAGAGATTATCTTAACTAGGTAAGGTATTGTCTAAGAAGAACAGTACTTGTGCTGAACATTGATTAGCGAGGTTCAAGAAAAATACAGACTATAGGATCAACATTTTAGTCAGGAAGGGCTACTTTTCATTTAATGTAATGAGCTAGCTGAGCAAAATGAGTGATCTCGAAAATATGTGACAATATTTTGCTTTCTTGTGTGCCACATTTCTCTCAAGGAATTTAGTTTTCATATAGCACAAGGGGAGCCAAAAGGTCTTTTAAAATAATCTGTACATCTGGAGAATACTTAATACCCCAAGCTAGTTCAGGATATACCCAACAGGTGGCATAGGGACTCCTCAATGTGGCAGAGATATGCCAGTATAAAAACAGACTAAGAAAATGGTGAGTTCTACTTAATGTTGAACTACATATTTCCCAACAAAACCAATTTGTTAATGGCAGATTACAGGTATTTGGGTAGATACAAGCTTTGCTTCGCAAAAGCTGGATTTTTGTAGGCAGCAAAATGGAAATGGAATCATAGGATCATAGAATGATAGAATGGTTTGGATTAGAAAGGAACTTAAGGTCATCTAGTTTCAACCCCCCTGCCATGGGCATGGATGCCTTACACTAGACCATGTCACCCAAGGCTCTGTCCAGCTTGGCCTTGAACACCGCCAGGGATGAAGCGTTTCTCTGGGCAACCTGTTCCAGTGCCTCACCACCCTAAGAGGAAAGAACTTCTTCCTTATATCCAACCTGAACTTCACCTGTTTAGGTTTGAACTTATTACTCCTTGTCCTGTCGCTACAGCCCCTGATGAAGAGTCCCTCTCTGGCATCCTTGTAGCCCCCCTTCAGATACTGGAAGGCTGCTATGAGGTCTCCACACAGCCTTCTCCAAGCTGAACAGCCCCCACTTTCTCAGCCTATCTTCATACGGGAGGTGCTCCAGTCCCCTGATCATCCTCATGGCCCTCCTCTGGACGTGTTCCAACAGTTCCATGTCCTTTTTATGTTGAGGACACCAGAACTGCACACAGTGCTCCAAGTGAGGTCTCGAGAGCAGAGTAGAGGGGCAGAATCACCTCCTTCGACCTGCTGGTCACGCTCCTTTTGATGCAGTCCAGGATACGGTTGGCTTTCTGGGCTGCGAGTGCACGCTGAAGCCAGCACATGTTCAGTTTCTCATCAACCAACACCCCAAGTCCTTCTCCACAGGGCTTCTCTGTATCACTTCTCTGCCCAATCACCCAGCAAAGAATCCACATACCTGGGCTATGAGCAGCCAGTTTCTCCAGGGGAATGCTGTAGGAGAGTGTCAAATGCTTTACTTAAGTCCAAATAGACAATGTCCACAGCCTTTACCTCATCAACTATGCGGGTCACTAGGGGGGTCACCAGTCAATCTCCTCCTCAGATTCCCTTATATTGCTTAGCCCTTCCACCTCCTCCCATAGCTCTGCCACCATGCAGAGGAAACCATCATTCTGCTGGCATCTTGCACAGCTGCCATCTCGTATCACCACCAAGTTCTTGTATTCACTACAGCCAGATGTCAGGAAAGGTACATGTTAATGAGGGACATCTGTCTGTCACCATGTCCTTCCTGGCCAGCAGAGAGGACCCAGTTTCCTTTACTTTCTGCTGAGGGGATGCCATCCTAGAGTACTGTCTCGATGACCGCTGGCTGAGCTCACCTCTGAAGCTTGCAAGACTACTGGGGTCTGTCCATATAAAGTACCATGTTCCTCTGTGCCCTGTTTGCCCACTCTCTTCACCACACTACTGGTCACTCACACTCCCAAGGGTGGTGCTCAGGATATGTTCTGTACCTTATTACTTTTTTTTTTTAAATTTAATTAGAATGCAAGTATATTTTGTTATTAGCAAGGAGAAAAGAATGAATTAGAAAGGAAGAATAAAAAGAAAATTGAATGGAAATTGTGCTAATCACAACAACCTGTTTTCACTGAATCACAAGTAACACTCTAGCTCACAGTACTCTCATAGTCTTCAGTTAGTTTCTCTGCTGTCCATCATTCCAAACAGGCACCTTTTAATCTTTACATTTTAATTTGCTCAGGTTGAGTGGCTTTAATCAGAAAATATCTCATGAACATTTCCATTTTTAAGACTGTAAAGGTCTGCACATGTATATAACCATCTGAATAGTTATTGCTAGCATAATTAGTGTTGATGTCAGAGTTTGACAACTGAAGATGCATTCCATGTAACTAGATTAAATTTGCTTGTCTGACTTGGAAACCAGTGACTATATTTTGGGTACATATACTTAACAAAGATGCACAAATACTTATAAAAAAACAATGAATAACGATTTTTACCAAAGAACTGTGTACCAAAGTAAGTTGTCTTTCTTTTGGATCAAACCTGCTTTTTTCAGACAGATTTTAAAACTAAAGATAAGTCCTGCTATACAATTAGCAGTGTAAAACACTGACAACTGTGTTTATCTGTACTCAGCAGGTTGCACAGAACGAGCAGATCTCTTTTGATGTTAGAATTCCCATTAAAGGCATTCACTGCTTTATTGCAAAATATGCTTCAAATAATTGAGTACTGAATACTCAATTTGTTAAAATGTTTTTTTTTTTGTTTGGTTTTGCTTTGTTTTAAAGTGAATTGAGCCATTTAGTCAAGTAAGTTCTAAACTGAGAACCACCACAAAGAACAACTTACCAAAGTTAGCCATCCCTAAACTGGTACCACAGTCTGTACATACTTGCAAGAACTATTAGTTTTGTCAGCATAGCAGTACGAGTTACTTGAAGAAAAGGAGGCAAAAAAAGTGGGGTTTTGCCAGTCTAAGTGTGATTTTTATAAGTAAGAATTATTCTTATATATGGTACAGCTGAGATAACTCAAAACTCCACACTTCTAATGCAGGCCTCTGTAATAATAGGAACTATGAAAACCATATAAAACTCACAGTGCCAGGAGCAGCTCCAGATGGAAATAGGTCAGTGTATCTCCTGTATGAAGACTGCTTTGTTATACTGCAAAAGCAGTTCTAGACTGATTTGAACTTTGTCTGATGCAGTCTTTGGAGAAACTGAATGAAGACTATTTTGGTAAAGGACTCTCAGACTGTGGAGAGCTTGTGGGTTTTTTAGTGATGCAGGGATTTCATCCCACTCTTATAATGACCTAGTTTGTTTAAGACTTGCATTGCCGTCTACCTCATGTAATCTATTTGTATAGTTAATGGTATAAAGGTATTATGTCCTGAATACCAGGACATAGAGGACCTAATGATCCTCTGTTATCCTAATGGAAAAATGAATTATTGGACTATGCTGTCAGTTATTGGCAGTACTGTTAATAATATACTTCATGCTAAATGGATTCTAAAACTACTACTATTTATGTACTATTTAAGACGCTTATAAAAGGTGGAAGCAAGGACAGGCGGACTGGGAAGAATACAGGGATGTCCAGGAAGCTAGGGACCAGGTTAGGAAAGCTAAGGCCCAGTTAGAATTAAACTTGGCTAGGGATGTGACAGATAACAGGAAGGGATTCTATAGGTACCTTACAAATAAAAGACAGACTAGGGACAACATGGGCCCTCTCCAGAAGCTATCGGGAGAACTGGCTGCCCTGGATTTGAAGAAGGCTGAGGTTCTTAATGACTTCTTTGCCTCATTCTTCACTGGCAAAGGCTCTGACCATGCTGTGCAAGTCTTGGAAGGCAGACGCAAGGACTGAGAATGAAGACCTTGGGCCCTGTCCTGGATTCAGCAGCAGCAGTCAATTTCCTCCTTCTTAGTAGCTGGTGCAGTGCTGTGATTTTGACTTTCATCCTGGGAACAATGCTGATAACACCGACGTTTTTAATTGCTGCTCAGTAATGTTTACTCTGACCAAGGACTTTCTGAGTCTCATGCTCTGCCAGGGAGGAGGGGAAGCCAGGAGGAAGCGGAGACAGGACACCTGGCCCAAACTAACCAAAGGGGTATTCCATACCACAGCACGTCATGTGCGGTATATAAACTGGAGGCAGTTACCTGGAAGGGCTAGATCACTCCTTGAGTTGGGCTGGGTATCGATTGGCGGGTGGTGAGCAGTTGTATTCTCTTCCGTTGTTATTTCCCTTATCATTATTATTATTGGTCGTAGCAGCAGTGGTTTGTGTTATACCTTAGTTACTGGACTCTTCTTATCTCAACCTGTGGGAGTTACTTTATTTTGATTCTCCTCCCCATCCCTCTGGGAGCAGGGGTGGGGGAGGAAGGGGGGAAGTGAGTGAGCATGCTGCGTGGCAGCTGAACTTAAACCACGACAGGCCCACTGTAGGAGAGGATCTGGTTTGAGACCATCTTAAGAACCTGAATGCGTACAAGTCCATGGGACCTGATGAAATCCATCCACGGTCCTGAAGGAGCTGGCAAATGAAGTTGCTAAGCCATTGTCTGTGGGTGATGGGACAGAAAGAGTTAACAAAATGGATCCAGGCATTATTGCCCTGGTCCGGCTTAAGCCTTGGGAACCCTAAAGAGAGCAACAAAGGGTAAAGATCGGTTAGCAAAACAAAGCAGGCCGTTTGCAAGATAAAGCAGGATATGCAACTCAAAGACAGACCAAACGATGTAAATATTTGTAACCCTTACTAGGTTTGCTGAATTGGGTTGATAAGGAAGTAAGAGAGTGGAAAGTTAATGCTTAGCACTTAGTAGACTATAAAAGGGATGTGAGATTCGAAATAAAGGTCTTCAGATTTCACCAGAACTGGAGTCCGTCTTTGATGCGCCACAACTGTTTATCATATTTGAAAAGTCATGGCAGTCAGGTAACGTTCCCAACGACTGGAAAAAGGGAAATATAACCCCCATTTTCAAGAAGGGGGAAATGGATGTCCCAGGCAACTACAGACCAGTCAGTCTCAGCTCTGTGCCTGGCAAAATCTTGGAGCAGATTCTCCTGGAAGGCATGCTAAGGCACATGAGAAACAACAAGGTGCTTGGTGACAGCCAGCATGGCTTCACTAAGGGGAAATCCTGCCTGACCAATTTGGTGGCCTTCTATGATGAGGCTACGGAGCTGATGGACAGGGGTAGAGCAGTTGACATCATCTACCTGGACTTGTGCAAAGCATCTGACACTGTCCCACACGACATCCTTGTCTCTAAATTAGAGAGACATCAATTTGATGGATGGACCACTCAGTGGATAAAGAACTGGCTGGATGGCTGAATGCAAACAGCTGTGGTCAATGGCTCAATGTCCAGCTGGAGACCAGTAAGGAGTGGTGTCCCGCAGGGATCGATGTTGGAACTGGTCTTGTTCAACATCTTTGCTGGTGACATGGACAGTGGGATTGAGTGCGCCCTCAGCAAGTTTGCTGATGACACCAAGCTGTGTGGTTCAGTTGATACACTGGAGGGAAGGAATGCCATCCAGAGGGACCTCAACGCACTTGTGAGGTGGGCTGATGCCAACCTCATGAAGTTTAACCATGCCAAGTGCAATGTCCTACACCTGGGTTGGAGCAATCCCAGGCACAGCTACAGGTTGGGCAGAGAAGAGATTCAGAGCAGCCCTGCAGAGAAGGAATTTGGGGTGCTGGTTGACGAGAAATTCAACATGATCCGGCTTCAGTGTGTGCTCGCAGCCCAGAAAGCCAACCGTATCCCGGGCTGCATCAAAAGGAGCGTGACCTTTGATGGAGGTGATCTTTCTCCTCCACTCTGCTCTCGTGAGACCTCACTTGGAGTATTGTGTGCAGTTCTGGTGTCCTCAACATAAAAAGGACATGGAAGTGTTGGAACAAGTCCAGAGGAGGGCCACAAGGATGATCAGGGGGCTGGAGCACCTGCCATATGAAGTAAGGCAGAGAAAGTGGGGACTGTTGAGCCTGGAGAAGAGAAGGCTGCATGGAGACCTCATAGGAGCCTTCCAGGATCTGAAGGGGGACTATAGGGATGCTGGAGAGGGACTATTCATTAGGGACTGTAGTGATAGGAAAAGGCTAATGGGTTAAAATTTAAACAGGAAGTTTAGACTGGATATAAGGAAAAAGTTTTTTACTGTAAGGGTGGTGAGGCACTGGAATGGGTTGCTCAAGGAAGCTGTGAATACTCCATCCGTGGCAGTGTTCAAGGCGAGGTTGGACAGGCCTTGGGTGGCATGGTTTAGTGTGAGGTGTCCCTGCCCAGGGCAGGGATGTTGGAACTAGATGATCTTAAGGTCCTTTCCAACCTTAACTATTCTATGATTCTATGTGTAACTTTCTTTGTTGCCTGATAATACTTTGCATCTAATTTTACTGCAAATAGCATTTTTTGAGACAGCAGATTCTGAACAGAAGGTCATTCTCTCCTTGAGGTTAGTTTTGACTTAATGAATGGGTTTCATAAATACTGGCATGTGTCTTATAATTTCTGCTGTTTGTGAGAAAGCATATCAGATTGGTGGTTGCATTGTGAGCGGGGGCCAGGCCACTGAAAATGAATCAATTTATTTTTTTTTTTTTAGGTGGAGTGTCTTTTTTGTCTTTCCTCCCATAGCCATCTAGTATTTTTTGATTTAAAAAATGCAAACAAGAGAAAAATTAGAAGGTATTTTCTATGTCATGTGCAGGTATGGGAATGCTGGTGTGAGTGTGAGGTACAGTTCAGATGCTTCATCTCTTGAAAAACTGTATCTACCTGACTTGGGTGAGTAGGACACAATTCAGGACATGATCTGCTTAAGAACTTTGTATTTTTTTACTGTTTCCTAGGGATTACGAGGAAGATTTATGAAAGATAATCCAGACTAACTGTATTAACTGTACCAGTTAACTGTACCACTAGGACGAGAGTGAATATGTGTTTACACTTGCAGGAATTTACCTTCCTTAAATGATAATTCCAATCTGATTTCCTAAAACTAAACATTTCTTTCATCGTTGACAATCCTCAGTTGCAGAGGAAAACTTCAAGACACAGACACTAAATCTAAAACATACTTACCTTTATTGATTTTAATATCTCATTTTTTTACTATAAGGTTAGCAGTGAAGCTCTCCATTCACACCCCAGCCATCCTCAGATGCTTCTTTACCCCTACTATGTGAAGTTAAACTTCCCAGGCATATACTGGGGTAACTTCAGTGCCAGTTCAATGATCTACATATCCATGGGAAATGTGATGTTTTGCTGCAACATGCTTCAATGCATCTGCTGGCACCTAATCTACTGGCTAAAAGAAAGAAAACTACTGGATTGAAAATGATACGGTTTTCCCCTTAGGAAATATGGTGCCTATGGTTCTGTAGATTTTCTCTTTATTATTTTCTTGAGGTCATAAACATCCTATCTCTTGGGATAGTGTATGGGTCAGGACTCTGATCAGCCTTTCAAAACAGGCAGATCTCCCAGACTGTCTTGGTTACACTGAGGAATACAGGGCATTAGATGGAATTGTGTATTTTTAGTGGTCACAGCTGGGAAACCAACACCTGTAGGCTGCTCAAGACAATCAAGTTAGAACTGAGTCCTCCTGCTGCTGAAATATACCACAGAGCTCAAAACCACCAACTGTCTGCTTCACGGAAAGGTATTTACGTGTTTCCTCATCTTGTTTCTTATAGCTCACCCCCCACCTTTCTGTTGCATGTGAGAGGTAGAATCTTTTCTCTAGTCATAAATAGTATCAAATGTTCTAAAGCAAAATAAACTGTTACAAGATTAAATATGTTTCTAAATACCAGAGTACACTTTTTAAAATGTATTATTTGGCATAGAAACAGCATAATTTTTGATGTTCTAATGAAAGAAAGGGGATCCTGAGGTATATTCAACACAAGCTTATTGTAAGATGGGCATAAACCAGTTTTGATTTCAACAACCAATCCTTTCCTCAAAATTATAACATAACTTTCAAAGTTGGGATTAATTTTATTGTAAACACTTGATTGTTAAATCTGTAGCTTGCGAGCAGGGAAGTGCAAGTATCTCCAGACAGAGCAATGGTACTTCCATCTGCCTGAATAACAACCAGCACCTTCCACCTGTCTTTCTGTCATATACAGCCATTTTGGGAACTACATAAAGAAACAGAAAAAGTGGAACAGCTCAGGAAGTGTTAGACCACAGTGAACCGTTCCATCCATACCCAGCAGTCCTCTACTTTCCCCATCACGTACTTCACAGTTACAGTAACACCTACCACCAAGCATGATGTTGGTGTAAGCACAGCTTGGTCTTGCTGCTTTGTAAATTGCAAAACTGCAAACTTGCTTATTTATATTGAAAGTCCCATAACAAATACGGTATTCAGAAATGCAAACAAGCTATGAACCTTTGTGTGTTTTTTACCAGATCCTTGACTTGGTTTTTTAAGGAAAATCAATGAAAGTGATGATCAGAGAATCAAAAGTTAACAGAAGTTCTACTGTCTTGTTAGATGAACAAAGTAGAAAGAAACAAGAAAAGATAGTAATTTTTTTAAGTATGGTACATCCAACTTTTTTATGTGAGCCTGGTTTCTCACCACAGTGTAACAGAAGAGAGACTTACTGAAGTAACCCTTTCTATGATACTGCCTCTGGATGGTCAATGCTGGTACCACAATCCATTAGAGGAGAACACTGTGCAAGTAGTGTAATAGACTTTACTCAATCAGACCTAAAAAACTGCGATGTTAAAGAATTTGGTTTAAATAATCTTATACTTTATTTTAAAACTTTTAAAAAGCAATGTATTAGGACATACGATTTAGAATTTTAAAATTTCTGCTATATTTTGTACTAATAAAATAATAATATCTGGCAGTCATTAATAAGAGTAAGGAAACTATTCATTAGTCAATATGCATGACATACATAAAGTGCTGTAAAATTCTTTTAATGCTATATAAGTGATTTTCCCCATTAAGGTGCACATTTTCTCTGGCTATTGTTGATCCTCCACTAAACATTTCACAAAAGTTTGCACTGTCTTCAGAATTTGACACTCCGAACAGCCAGTTTAACAAATGAAAGAGCATGGATTATGACAAACTTTCAGCAGTGATGTTAGTACAAACCTCTTAGTTTTGGGTTTGAGGGCTTTATTCTGTGTGACTGTCTTCAATCTTATGTTCTATCAGAAGAAACTATGGAAAAGTTGTGTTTTCATTCAACCACTGCCAAGTCTTTGTTTCTTAAAATATATATTCAGAAGTAAATATAAATCTAAACTACATGAAAACAGTGGCAAATTTTCTCTCTCAAAACAACTTGTGTCACAATACCTTTATGTTGAATCTTTTTTTTTTTACTGTGCTTCATCCCACATATCATTCACGTTAATTTTGTACTAAGAAAAAACATCATACTCAGCATTTATATTCCAAGATTGAGACAAAACAGATTTCAGTTATGTTCTACAGATCATGTAATTAGAAATTGGTCTCAATAGGTAAAAAAATGATTAATAATCAATAATGATGAAGACAGGAAAGATACAAAACATATCTGAATGCAAGTATCAAGTACATAAAATACTATTCTGAATAACTATGTATAAATATTGGTAATTAGTGTTTTCTCATGCAGTAGTTCATATAGTCTGTCCCTCAATAACCTATTATTAGGTTAAAGTTTAATTTTCCCAGATAAGATCATTTCATGTACTTCTTTGGTTAACAAGACATACGCTTTTTTAGAATTATCTAAAAAGTAAAGAGGATCAGTAATTGTAGATGGATTAAAACCTTCATCCACCAGTCGAAATTTTTGTTGTTTGAATGTTCCAGTCATTTCCATTTTATCCTATAGAAGAGAGAAAGATTTATTATTCAGTAGAACTTTTTTTTTTTTGCTCACATTCACATTTGTTTTTGAAAATCTTTCTTGATGTAAGGTTAATACTGTTATTACTTTTCCATTATCCTGGAAAACTAGAACTTCTCTGCTGCTGTGGACCAACCTGAAGATGTGGTGGAAAAAAGTTTCAACCTTTTGCTTTCTGCATTGCTGTGCAGAGTCTCATCACAGTGTCTCATCTGGTATAGCTGCAGCCTGCCCAGGACAATCTAGCTTCCTCATTTGTGTGTGCTTATAAAACTATACATTGTAAAGAATCTGAGGGTAAAAACTGTCATTATTAAGAACTTCCTGGTGGAACTCAGGAAATTCTAATTATTGTCACCCTAAATAAAGGGTTTAAAAAATTCACATATGTAATCAACCACACTCATACTCAGCCAGGTCCCAACAGAGGTAGATCTTTATCATACATCTTGTAATGCTTCAAGCTTCTTTTCAGTGTCACTGTGTCCCTTGGAAAAAGTAGTGGGAGGCATCTCTAGGGAAACTCTTTTATCTTCACCACTGCTTCTCAGCCATACTTTCTGACCTCTCTCCATTGTCTTCTATTCTGTTTTTACATATTTAAATATATGTGCAAACAATCTCTGAAAACTAGAAACTGAGAGCAACTGCATCTACCTGCTTTAGTTGGTCTAAGATCCGACAACTTCTAAAGTATGACTAAATGTCAGACAAGAACAACAGGTTTTTATCTTTTTGCCTTGAGCCTCCACCACTACCTTATTTCTTGGTTAACGACAGCAGTACCAACAGCAATTCGTCTGTAATGTAGGCATTTAAATCTAATAGAAGTTCTAGATACTTGATATCCAGGCTACATCCAAGAGTCAGATTCCTTTTGCCCAGCATAAAGACTTTTTTTGTACATCTGTATCGCAATAAGTCTGGACTAAGTTACCATCATTTTAGTCAACCTCTGATTGGCCCATTGATCCAACTTCCATCATTTCTCCTTTCAAATAGTGATTATTATTTTTTTTTTTTCTTCAGACTTGGGAGACTTACTTCATAAGCACCTTCAAAACCGTTTTTCTTTTTGTCTTCGTCATTGTGCTTTTAGAACACCAGAAAGGAAGACGCATGACTGATTATTATGGTGGTGACAATAATAAAGTACATTTTTAATTCACCTTTTTAATTTACCTAGTACCTTTTAAAATGCTTTAGCTTTTGTCATTAGTGTCACTAATGTCAATGAAATATCATTTTATTGTGCATAATCAGTATCTCCTGCTTTACCTCTACATCTCCCTTCTCTCATTTCCAGTTAATGAAATGGATTTTAGATTTTCTTCCAGACGCAATTGTCCATGGTTTACTAATCTGTATCTTTTTGTTTTCATGGTCATGCTTCTAATCTCCCTAAATCCTTTTGTACAATCTTGTCTTTACTCATTTGTACTCAATTCTTCCCATTTTAACATAATCTGCAAATTTTATTTTTTTTTTCCGTAATTCCTTTCCCAGGACTCCATTAATGAAGACAGAAAATAGGACCAGATGTAAAACTAATCAAGTGATATATGAACAAGCACTTTCAGTTATTCACTTAGACATCTCTGTGTTCAGATGACGTCAAAGTTCTGTATTCTGTGCAATAATGCAGCTTACCTGAACTCTCAAAAAAAGAGGACAAGCATAATTTGGTAGATAGGTCACTACTTGTTTATATATTTGCTCCAAATCCAGCAAGGTATTCTGCTTTAGAATAAGAGAGGCCATTCCTGCTTTTCCTTCATGATCTGGGAGGAAAAAGTGAGATAAGAATTTTAAAACATGGATGAAGTTGACATTTTAGTGATGAACCTTACAAAAAAGAACTGTAATGCATCAATAAAATGACAGTCATATATCATCTATGTTTTAGTAAAGCTAGAAGATTATATTAATATATTATATGGTATTACATATATTTGGAGATCACTCAAGTGACCGATTAAGCAATAATGCTGTAAATGACTTAGGAGTCCGTCAATATTAATAAAGGTGGAAAACATCAACAACATTCTTCTCTCAGAAACAAGAGGGCTGAGCCTCTTTCCTGGATGTCCTGGGTTCAGCAGTAGCAGTCATTTTTCTCCTTCTTAGTAGCTGGTGCAGTGCGCTGTTTTTTACTTTCAGCCTGGGAACAGCGCTGATAACACCGATGTGTTTAGTTGCTGCTCAGTAATGTTTACTCCGACCAAGGACTTTCTGAGCCTCATGCTCTGCCAGGGAGGAGGGGAAGCCAGGAGGAAGCAGAGACAGGACACCTGACCCAAACTAACCAAAGAGGTATTCCATACCACAGCACGTCATGCCCAGGATGTAGAACTGGGGTCAATTACCCAGAAGGGCAAGATCACTGCTCAAGTGGGGCTGGGTATTGGTCGGTGGGTGGTGAGCATTTGTATTCTTTTCCATTGTTATTTCCCTTATCATTATTATTATTGGTCGTAGCAGCAGTGGTTTGTGTTATAACTTAGTTACTGGACTCTTATCTCAACCTGTGGGAGTTGCATTCTTTTGATTCTCCTCATCCCTCTGGGAGCAGGGGGAGGAAGAAAGGGTGGGGGAGAGTGAGCAAGCAGCTGCATGGTTCTGAGTTATCAGCTGGACTTAAAACGTGACACTGGATCAGATAATTATGTCTTCTCTTCAGTTTTAGCCTTTCTCTCTTGCCATTATCTCCTCTGAAAACTGTGGGTCTGAATATCCTTAACACAGAGAGAGATTACAAGTATCTTACTCGTTTATGTGGAAAGAGAGAGCACTGTGGATCTATGGGAAATATCAAAATCAGAAAAACATAGAAGCAATGAACTTCAGCAATCAAACTGCACACTTTAACCATCAGCTAGTAATAATAACATTCTGCCAATGTTATCTTTTGTCTCTTTTCTATATATAGGTTTGGGGGTTTTTTTGTTGTTTTTTTTTTTTTGCTAATGCTACAAAGTCTGTAAGGAACTTGATTTGTGTATGTTTAACTGCATATCGAGACAGTCACATTAACTGGGTAGGAATCTGCAGGTAAGACTTGTATAGGAAATTAGAAGCTCTCATATTTTTGTGTCTGATTTTCAATCAGTCTTCTTTATTATGATCTTTCTTATTGTGTGGCTTTAAATTAGAGGTGGCACCTTTTTCACATTTTAAACCCTTGTAATTTTGTGGTGGGTTCAGCCTGCATACAGCCAGCTTCTCACTCACTCCCTTCTCTCATGGAATGGCAAGAGAACAGAAGGAAAATAAGACTCATGTATCAGGATAGTGGCAGTTTAATAGGTGAAGCAAAAGTTACCTGCAGAAGCAAAGGAAAACCAGGACTTCCTTAGTTATTTTGCATTGTCAGGCAAACACAAACATCTTATCCTCTTCCCTTCCCCAGGCTTTTACAACTGAGCATGGCATCATCTGATACAGAATATCCCCTTGGTTAGTTTGGGCCCTATGTCCTATCTACATCTGCCCCTGATTTCTTGCCCACCCCAGCACACTCGCTGCAGGGAGAAAACCTTGATAATGTGCAAGTTTTTTTATCAACACTGGTTTAGCTACTCATGTAAAGCGCAGCACTATACAGACTCCTGTAAAGAAACTTGTCTTTAACATAGACAGATAAAATACGCATTTTAAGAAAAGATTTAGCATGAATGGGAATCAAGCTCAGATGCTCTAACTTATTTTTCTTCATTTTCTTTTTGACCTTGTCCTTGGTTTTCTAATATAGCTGTTTATAGATGTTTTATGAGGGTAAGTGGAAGGTAAAATAATACAGAAGAATGTCATCATACACTTTCCCTTACAGTTACTTTGCCTACAACTTTTACCTTGTTGACATTTTATTTTGACACATGGATGTGTGGATTTTCCATGGTTGTGAATTTAATAAATCTTTAATTTACATTATGTAACTATAGAATTTCTTGGGCTGGAAAGACGTTTAAGATCATTGAGTCCAACCATTAACCCAGCACCGGCGAGTTCACCACTAAACCATGTCCCCAGGCACCACATCTCCACGTCTTCTCATATTCATGTAAGATTACTTTAAAAAAAGACACATTACTGCATGCACATAAAAATGCATGATTCATTGGCTCCTTCACAATCTGGTGGTATTTTCATAGAATCACAGGATCATAGAATAGTTAGGGTTAGAAAGGACCTTAAGATCATCTAGTTCCAACCCCCCTGCCATGGGAAGGGACACCTCACACTAAACCACGCCATCCAAGGCTTCATCCAACCTGGCCTTGGGCACTGCTAGGGATGGAGCATTCACAGCCTCCCTGGGCAAACCATGCTAGTGCCTCACCACCCTAACAGGAAAGACCTTCTTCCTTATATCTAATCTAAACTTCCTCTATTTAGTTTTTAACCCATTACCCCTTGTCCTGTCACTACAGTCCCTAATGAAGAGTCCCTCCCCAGCATCCCTATAGCCCCCCTTCAGATACTGGAAGGCTGCTATGAGGTCTCCACACTGCCTGCTCATGTTCATTTTCTCATCGACCGACACCCCCAAGTCCTTCTCCGCAGGGCTGCTCCGAATCTCTTCTCTGCCCAACCTGTAGCTGTGCCTGGGATTGCTCTGACCCAGGTGTAGGACCTTGCACGTGGCATGGTTAAACTTCATGAGGTTGGCATCAGCCCACCTCACAAGCGTGTCAAGGTCCCTCTGGATGCCATTCCTTCCCTCCAGTGCATCAACTGAACCACACAGCTTGCTGTCATCGGCAAACTTGCTGAGGGCGCACTCAATCCCACTGTCCATGTCAGCAACAAAGATGTTGAACAAAGCTGGTCCCAACACCAATCCCTGTGGGACACCACTCATTACTGGTCTCCAGCTGGGCATTGAGCCATTGACCACAGCTCTGCGTGTGGCCATTTTCAGTGTCTCTATGTATATTTTTGTTAGATTTAAAACATGAAATAAAAAAGTTATGAGGGTTAACAAGTAATGCAGGGGAATGAAAACATACAGCTAAAGCTTTTACCTGGCACAGATACACCATACACATTTGCTTCTTGTACGAAGTCCAACATTACAATGACATCGGAAACTTCTGTAGTTGCAACATTCTCCCCTTTCCATCTAAAACACATTAGAAAAAAATTTAGCCCCATGAAAACTTACGGACACCTCTTCTTGAAAAAAACATTACCTTTAGTAGGAACTCCATTCCTTTCAGACTAACAACATCTCAAATTTGTTCTCACTTATCACACTGTTTTCTGTTTATCTGACCACCAAAAGACTTGTAATTCAAATGATACAGGATATTAGCTATTACTAATGAAAGCTGATCATATTCTGATATAATGGTTTTCATTGATCATATTCTGATATAATGGTTTTCAAAATTTTGATGTGTGTCTAAACACATAAGATGTCACCAGTCTTCAGTATTTGATATTTTTTTTCCACTTCAGTATCCAACTTCCTTGATCACTGCAAAACCATCACTTGTTACTATGCTGATTGGAAAGACTGTTCAAAGAGTTAATTCCTACAAAACATTCTGGAAATAAGCTATCCAGCTCTACAGGAACACTTTTTTAAAAATTAAGCCCCTAATATCCCTATAAGATCATTACAAGCTACATCATAATAGTAATAAACTGAACACTTCAGGCTGAAAACAAATAGAACAGTATTATTATATTCTGCATGTCCATTTTTTTTTTTAAGTGAAGAAATGTGAAAATAAACAATGATTATACCTGAAGGTATCTCCAATTCTGTCCCAAAAATAAAGAAAATTCTCATGATCTTGAACCATTAGATCTCCAGTATTAAAATAAAGATCTCCCTTCTTAAATACCTCACAGAGTAATTTCTTTTCTGTGTGTCTCTTATTGCCAGCATATCCAAAGAAGGGGTTCTTTGCATTGACTTTCGAAATGAGAAGACCGGCCTCACCTATACAGAGAAGTTGAAAGAATGTAAACCTGGGATATCATTGCACATTTCCTGTACTTTACATTAATATTAATTTGGTACTCATGATTTTACAAGACCAGGAACCAGGATTCCGTAGATAAGACCCAAAAATAACAACTGTTTCTACTGCTTTACAGTTCCTGTGGTCACCTCTACATGCAAAGGGACCATACAGACACACTACCATATTGTCTACTCAAATTCCTAGTCTTCTATATTTCTTCCTGATGACCCATCCTTGTTCTCCCAGAAATGTCATCTATCAATTATAAGTTCACTAGTAGGTTTACTAACCTCTCAAAGTACACCCTTCATATTAATATTACGTCCCACTCCCCAAACCTTACTGAATTTGGAGTGCTGAGTCTAAACTTCATCCTACTGAAAAAAACAAAAACAGGTATTCAACTCAGGCATTATATCCCTGGGTAGTCTCCTTTCTGAAGTTCTGAGAGCAAGCCTTAAGACCTTTCATTGATGTGATACAGCCTCATTGCTTTCTTCTTAGAGTAAAATATAATAGTCTTAATTGTTTTTCTCAAAAATAGGGATAGATGGGGCTAGAATTATCCTGTCATGGATGTAGAGTATCTGGGTATTAGTTTGCTGAAAGTGGAATAGTACAAACTTCATACCTTTTTGGAAGCACATTCTGAACAATGAAGTTGAAGACTTATGTTTCTTTGTATCAGAAACAAAAATTGTAAATATGAAAACATGTAAAAATAAAAAAGCATGCAAAGGTATGCAGAATTTCTACTTTAAGACTGCCTCCTCATAAAAGAATATGTGCCTTTTTCCCATAAATCGGTAGTGTTTAAGATGAAAGCATTTAGTTCACTGGTAGTGTCACTGCAGCTATGATGCTCTGAAGATAAAGGGCACTGGTGCTGATTGGTATAATTGGAAAATTAGACCAGCTGTCTAATTAGAGAATGTGTTCCCCTCACAGGCTAGTCCGTCATCCCTACAGATAATTTTCCTTATAAAAATTTCCTATTTAAAATTCATGTTTTGGGGACCATTTTTTCCTGAAAGTGTCCATCTTTGATTAAGACCTATTAGAGAATCTCTTAACTCTTTTGAAAAATATGCTTCATCTCCCTGTTAAAGTTGTCTGCCTGACCTTTAGTATGAGTTTTTCTTGCTTCAGCTTCCAGGCATTAATTACAGCTACTTTCCCACAGTACAACAGAGATGCTTCAGTATCTGATAAACACTTTGGAAATCAGTATAATCAAGAGATACTAGATGTTTGATAGGTATTTTGAGAGCAGACTATAATCAAGCAAAACAACAAAAAAAATCTCTTAAAAAAGCCCAAACAAATATAAGCTTAATCAACTTGGTTTAGTTAGGAACACTTAATTTCTCACCAAAAAGCATTGATTTAATTGACCAGTCTTTCTCACAGAACTCTGAAGCAAACATCTCACTATGTTAACTCCCCTTAAAAATGAGAGATGTCATTATCTACATATTCAGAGATAATACCACACCACTTTTGAATGCTGCTCTTCTGTTAATATATTCTAGGATCTCCTAAATTCTTCTGGTGTCAGCACTAGAATGTTTAATAGTGTTCTATCCTAGACCAAAATCACATTAGCACTAGAATGCTTAATAGTGTTCTATCTTAGACCAAAATCACATTGCTTTTGTCAGAGCAAAGACTAATAGTTGATGTTGGCAGAGGACAGTAACACAATAAGAGGGTTCCTTAAAAAAAATTACCTGAAGTACTTGTATTTCAATTAAAGGCTGTTATATCCTATTAAAATACATACTTACCTTTCTTAACTTTTTCACACCAACCATGCTTATTTCTGATTGGTTCATCTTTTTGGAAATCGTACTTGATCAAATCAAATGGGAAAAAGAGCTAAGAGAGGGGGGGGGGAAAAAAAGGGTCGTCCGTTATTCATCTACACAGTGACATCTGGTGGCAGCAGCTATAAGCAAGGAAACTTTTACCCCAGTCTTTCTCATCTAAACACAGAATGTAGTTTCATTTAAAACTGAAAACACTCTGTACGTAAACTTACACCATTTTCTGGAGTTAAGCAACATCAAAGAATTTTATGATATTGTAACTTTCAAAAAGACATAGAACTGTAATTTTGTTATTTTTTTTAAGAGTAATTTATGGGATCCACCTATCAGTAGAAAAGTGTACACGAATCAGGATAATAGAAGCATACCTGGAATTTAACTGACATTTAACGGTGGTACCTGATATGAAAAGTATTCTTGGGGTATTCTGGCACATAAAACAACTGGCAAAGTAAAGACCTAAATCTCCTTACAAAGGGAAATATGCTTACTGCTGGGCATTACTCTTGCTTACCTATCCTCAGTTCTTCCCTCAAGGTTTCTCAGGCTGGTGTATGGTGGGAAGTCTTATCACGAACATCAACAGAAGGATAGATATTCCCATGCTATTTGACATGGTCATGTAGCTGTGCATGTTCCACAGTTACATCAGGGCTAGTTCTACATTCTTCTGAAATATTGTGAACACTTGAGTGCTGACACTGCTAATCTAACTGACTCCCTGGTCATGTTTTACAACTAACCTTCCT